TATAATATATGGGTGCAAAATAATCATATATTATTGTTATTTTGAAAAGTTTTTCATAATATTTAATAATAGTTAATTAGATACACAGATTCATATCGATGATCTTTTTATTCCGGCTAAATTTAAGGAATAAAATCCTGGGGAAGAAGAACATGGATTTAAAGCTAAAAATGATTTTTGCACAATGAGAGGTGACGATCAAACCGAGGGCTAAATAAATTTTCATTATTTATCGTAAAATTTACTAGTATAATCGCTTTAAAATCCAATAATGGCAGATTCACTTTCTCTTATTGCACAACAGAACATCGAGACGTGCTTCAACATATCTCATTTACTGCTCATATGAAATTTACGACGGGCGTAAATCTTAGGTTAGAAAAATTCGTTTGTTTGGAAAAAGTAAAACAATGTCGAAGAACAATAAAGGCCGCTGTTCACGGGCCAACGTCACGCCTCGTCTGTGGTCACGTAGGGATGCAATTTGCCAGCGAAATGGAAAAACTAGGTCCGTGGAGAGACGTGTCGGTGTGGTTTACGTCTGCTTTATATATAGATAACTGTCGAAATATTGAGTGATAAAGTATTTTTTGTTGTACAGTTATTATATATATGTGGGTACTCATTCTTTTTTAATTATAATATACTCATTCTTGATTATTTTATAATGTGAACTGACTTTGTGAAAGTTTCTGCGTGTGTGTATATTAAAAGCAGAAGTGCGGATTTCCTCGCGATATTTTCGTTCACGTTAAGGCAAATTCATGTTCAAAATGATTCGCATCTGAAAATATCTAAATACTCGGGATTTTGAAACCGCTTCACTTGGTTTCTTAAGCAAGTACGTTACCAATGGGCTACCATTGCCTTCTATTTTTTTCTGTTCATATAAAATTAATTTCTAATTGTACTTAATTTATCAACTAGACTGTTATAGGAAATAACAATTAAATATCAAAATACATTTATTTTCTTTAATTTTTCCCTCTAAGTATTAACTGCTTTTAAGCTTTCTAAATAAAATCACAAAAACTCCAGTTTTTTTAAGTCTTACATCGCCAAAGAAATTCCTGCGTTACCATCTTATTTACTATGGTTCGAATTATATACTAATAGACTATTTATGTCATATAAAACACACAATAACAACACATATAGTATGACTATATGTCGGTGGTGTAGTGGCTAGCATGTACGGCTGCACACCCGGAGGTCCTGGGTTCGAGTCCCGGGTCGGGCCAAGTTTAGTTATTGAGTCTTTCTGTATATTAAGCCTCAGTAACAGCCCGGAGTTGGGAAGTTGGCGGTGTTTCACCCCCGTGCCTCGGAGAGCACGTAAAGCCGTCGGTCCTGCGCCTTAACTCTCACCGGTCGTGTTGAGTGGTCGTCCCACCGGAGTTGAGAGTGACAGGAATAGAGAGTGCACGTTGTGTCTGCGCGTACACTTGTGCACTATAATATCTCCTGCGCAGTTGGCTAATCTCAATAAGATTGGCCGCCGTAGCCGGAATCGGCTAGGAGAACATCACATGACTTTATTTGAAGTCCTCTGTATTACTTAGCATACTAAAACTTTATAAATATAAAATTTGTACCAAAAACAGCCCAAATAAGCTTGACAGGTGGGAAATTGACATCAAATGCCTTCAGCGAAAGTTTCTATCTATCTTTAATATTACAAGGTTAACTTCTTTCCCAATAAAGCTGTAATGTTAGAAAAATAATTATAAAATAATTCATCTTGTTTATAAAACTTGCAACATTCTTAATTAACTTTTATACGTGCTCTACCAATAACAAAAGCTAGTACAATGTAGGCGTTCCTACATACATGACACAAACAGATTATGAGCGTCGGAAAAAAGAATTAAAAATCTCTTTGACGAAATTTGCATTTTTTTCTTGAAAGCGCATTTTGATGGTCCAATTTGCATATTAAGTTTTTATTTCTCATATTTTGTCTTATATTGCTACGCATATTTAATAATCTTAATTAATATGAAATCCTTCATGTTGTATCTCGTTGGGTTGAGTGTAGCTGGTCATGCAAACGGCGGTGAAGGTAGTAAGTTCGAAATTTTGTGACGAATGTATATTTTTTTATACTACAAAGGTTATAATCAAGCGTATGACATACATACTATCAACTAAACAAGTTTAGACAAGTTGCCGTTTTATAATTAAATCGTTAGCGAATAGATATGTTAAAATTTGTATTAAAATGACTTTAATCGCTGTCATCGTAATCATAAAACGTTATTGACATATATATTGTTTATTTCTTCCTTCGTGATAATAGAACAACATCTTGCCTTAAAGCCCCCAGTAACCAAAAATAAAATAGTCTAAACTAATAGCCTGCTAACCAAAAAAAAATCTAAATTAAAATCAGTACATCCGTTTGGGCGCCGTGATGCCACTTACAAACACACAGATACACACGTTAAACATAACACGCCTCTTTCGTGTCGGAGGTAAATTAAAATATACAACATAATACGGTATATGTCTCTAACTAGCTTAATAAATCAAAAAATAAAATTTCCTCTCAAAAAACGTATATTATCACCATGCACAAATCTTTGTTTTGGTCTAAACGTTCTAAGAAAAACTCCCTAAGCAACTAAGCCAGTACATCGCTCCACACAGTAATTGCAATAAGCGAGTGCGTCTCGAAGCGAATGGGCGGGATCAGGCTGGCTTGGAAGATCTAGCTATCCGTCTACTAGACAAATCGCTCCCTCAAACAGAAGATTACTGTAAAGCTGGCCACCCCTTACATAGTCACGTAACCCTGAGCTCTGGCATAAACAAGGGGTATTTATTTAATATTATATTCATTTTATGAACATTTTAATATGAAGTAAACTGACAGACAGAAGTGTTTATGTCTATAAAGTTCAAAATGTCTGTGACTTATTTTATAGAAACTACCTTGTACCTCATATAGCAATTTATATAGTACCAAAGCCAAAGCAACTGTTAAAAATTTTATTTGTCTGTTTAATTTTACATCTGTGTATAAATGCTTAAGTGTGAAAGGACTGAATGGTTTTCAATATATCTATACTAATATTATAAAGAGGTAAAGTTTGTGTATTTGTGATTTTGTAAGTTTGTGACGTTGTAGGGGGTAAACTCTGGATCTACTTAACTTTAGATGAAATTTGGTAAGAAGATAGTTTGAGACCCTGGAAAGGACTTAGGATACTTTTTAACCCAAAAATCATCCCTTAAGGGGGTAAAAATAGGGATGAAAGTTTGTATTGGAAAGCAAGCTAGGAACGAACCAGAGCGAAGCGAGGGTGAGTCGCTAGTATTATATAGGTATGTCCGGGCGTAGACTACGCTACCCTCATAAAAATAAGGGAATTCTCGTGAAAATGACGAAATTTCATGTTTCTTTTTTTAGTAATCGGTGTAACTGCAGTCGGCTTAAGCCTACGTCTTCTGGATATCCGCTTGCGAAGGCAAAGGCTAGTTTTATTGTTTGTAGTTTTCATTTTACGACACGTTCGTGAGCGAACTACTGCTATGGTCGGTAAGAACAGCACACATTATTCACACTGTACTAAAGATACACTAAAGAAACTTGGTTTGCATTATTAAAACTCACGAGACAAAAGCTATCATTATTATTTTAAAGTATTGAAAGTTTCGTTCATTAGGGTTCCGTACCCGAAGGGTGCCAACAGAACCCAATTACTAAGCTTCCGCTGTCCGTCCGTCCGTCTGTCAGAGGGCTGTATCTCATGAACCGTAATAGGCAGAGAGTTGAAATTTTCACAGAGTATGTATTTCTATTGCCGCTATAACATAAAGTAATTAAATCAAATACATTAAGTATATTTTAATAAACTGAAAATTTATTCATTGGCGGACTCGAGGATATAATAATCTAGAATTTCTAAACAAATATTTATAGAAAGGTAAAACCCTTAATGTGACTTTACTATAATTATAATACTTAACTGTAGATATAAGTATTATACCTGTTTTTTGCTTGAACATGGTACATGGTATGGTATGGTAAAAGTATACAACTAAATATAGGCTAGAGGCAAGTTCTTTAACAATCGATCATATTACGGTTTTACTTGTATTTGATTTTCCAACTTTGAGTCAAGACACCCAAGTTTTCTATTCCCCAACCAGAAAATACCAACTTTAAAAACCCATAAGATACAACTTATAAAGATATGCTGGAAATATCCGTATTGTGACTCTAAGTTAATATTTCAATTTTCCAAGAGATCGTCTGAACGTAAAATAGGAAAAATATTTTCCTTTGGACGATAAGTTTTAGAGTTGACACATCCCTTGCAAAACATAACAATTTATTATTTTTATTGAAATACTAGCGACTCTCCGTCGCTTCGCTTGGGTTCGTCCCTGGTGACAAACAAAAAAAATCTATCCCACGGGAACCATATATTTTTTTCATCTAAATTTCATCCAGATCCGTTCAACCGTTCTGGCGTGATTGAGTAACAAACATCCATCCAAAATTTTGTATTTATAATACTTAGTAATATTTATACGGGATTTAAATTGTATAACTAATCAAAGGATATGGAAGAAGAGACAAGAACTGAAAATTTAAAGACGCTACACCAATTATATTCATTGTATTTACTTACTCCGATATAAATTATTAATGTAGTAATAGTCAATCAATGAAAAATTTTATGATAATTTAGCATTCGTATTTCTGTCGCCTCTATAACATCGAGGATTTTCGAAAATAATTTTCTTTCTTTTAATTTATATAAGCAATATTCTAATTTTCTGCCTCTATAAATGACTACAAGCTTCTGGCTTGTCTCTTGGTACAAGTATATCAGCTTAAGAATGTGAGTATATTATTGTCACAATCACAAACCCCATTATAAAACTTCAATCAAAAAAATAATTAATAACAAAAATTAAATTACAATTATTTTATTACATTACATTAGTTTAATATTACAAAACATTGCGATAAAAAGCTAAGAACACTATTTCCAAACGTGTTCTTCAATCCAATCTATAAAGCTGGACACTCTAGAATAGACACCGGGTTGATTTATTCGTCCACATCCGATTCCAAACGACGTGATCCCTAGTACCCAGTACATATGATCGTCTGTGTCCAAAGGAATTTTTACTTGCAATGGACCTCCTGAATCACCCTGGAAATAAATAAATTAATTATAATTAGATTATTATAAGGCAATGGTAGCCCAGTGGTTAACGCGCACGCTTGGGAAACCAAGTAAAGCGGGTTCAGATCCCGGGTCTCACATGTCTACATTTTCATGTGCGAATCATTTCTAACATGACTACCACTTGCCTTACGATGAAGGAAAACATCGTGAGAAGACCCGCATGTCTGAGCGAGACATGTGAAGTCCGACAACCCGCACTATGGCCTGCTCCTCTTCGTATTGAAGGGAGGCCCTTTTTCCAAACGTTTTCTTCAATCCAATCTATGAAGCTGGATACTCTAGAATAGACACCGGGTTGATTTGTTCGTCCACATCCGACTCCAAACGACGTGATACCTAGTACCCAGTACATATAATCGTCTGTGTCCAAAGGAATTTTTACTTGCAATGGACCTCCTGAATCACCCTGGACATAAATTGATTAATTATAATTAGATTAATACTTTCTTAGATTTACGCGAATGTTTGACTCTCCCGTGACCATGGATGCTGTAAAGCATTCGAAACGCCGGGAACCAAAAATCAAAATAAATCCGCGTAATAATCCGAAAAGATAGTTTTATTTAATAATATAATTAGATTATTATGAGGCAGTGGTAGCCCAGTGGTAACGCGCTCGCTTGGGAAACCGAGTGAAACGGGTTCAGATCCCGGGTCCCATACCTCTGATATTTTCATGTGTGAATCATTTCTTACATGATTACCATTTGCCTTACGGTGAAGAAAAACATCGTGAGGAAACCTGCATGTCTGAGCAAAGACATGTTAAGTCCGCCAACCCGCACTATGGCTGTGAAGTTTAAAAGGGCTGAATACAATTAGACTATATCATATTTGAACAACTTCGATATTTGACCACAATTTATGATCAAAAGAAACTCGATTTGTGTTCAATCAAAATAAAAAGTTCCGTCTGACTCCATAAGACAAGCTATTCATAACGTCATATATAATGATGGTCGGATAAAGTGTTGAAGCGTAAAAAGGTATCTGACTGAAAAACAGGAAAATTCGCTATCACATTAATACTATCGAGGCCATTGAAGTTACTTTTACTTCGATAGTTTTGAATTCGGTCACTGTACATTGCAAATATCATGAATATCCATTATGCATATATAAATAGGCAAAGACAAAATAGTGCAGGGCCTTTTTTACTCTATTTGTCAACAGATTTTCATATTTTTTTTGTTTAGTATCGACGGGTTTTAGTGTTATCAATAAAAAAATCGGAAAGAGTTATATCTATTTATATAATGATAATGATCGATTTAATTTAATAAACATAATATATTAAATAGCGGAAGTCACGGAAGTCGTTAGTTAAAGTTTGATAAAAGTAGGATTAATTCGAAAAAAATTAAGTTTTTATTCGTTATTCAGTTTTTCTTTAATTTAAATATGCGCTAAACATATAGTCTGATCGCGATGCGCTATACAAAATGAAAAGCTGAGGTTTTATGTTATTAAAACTTTAGCAAGTATATAAGTTACAAAAATCCGTAAAATGCCCCCGCTGTCCACCTACCCCTGAGAAATGGAGGGATGCAAAACATTGAAAAATAGTTTTTTTCAATTTCTGGCTTGCTTTGACATCCTATCGAAGAATGGTCTTTACAAAAGTTGTAGGTCTAGTAAAAATCTACAACTTTTATAGATAGAAGATTATATTCCCCTAGATTCATAGAAATAAAAAAAATATTGCAGATATTAAAAATAAAAACCAAGAAAAAATTAAAAAACGGGTTTTTGGAAGTATCTCGAAAATTTTCAAGTTATTGAAAAAGTGCCATCTAATTTCTTTTTTAAGGAATGAGTACATAAGAGGGACATTAAAAAGGGCTGAATACATACATAAGAGGGAGATTAAAAGTAGCACCAGTGACAGAGAAGTTGAAAGGGAATCGTCGGTATTGGACGGGATACAAACAATGTATTAATGTTATTCCGTGGGTTAGTCTTTTGCAAATAGTTATTTAGGATTAAGCAAGGCGAGATCTGCGTAATATCAAAATGTCAATTATATACAGGGTCATTTTTAAAATTTAAACCTTTTAGGAATATACTATTTACATCATAACAACAACATCTGTAACAAGAAAAAAATATATTTCTTAAATCTTTATTTTTATACAAAAATAGAAATATTTTTATGGCACCTTCTAAACGGTAAAGTCCTAGCATCTGGCCAAGTTTAAATGAGTAAGTGCTGCTTCCTACACCCATCCACGCCTTCCACTCCACCGACCATGCGCTTTCTTTTGCTAATACTGGACTATTACCGTTTAGAAGATGCAATAAAAATATTTTTATTTTTGTAAAATTTTAGAAATATTTTTTTTCTTACAGATGTTGTTAATATGATGTAAACAGTATATTCCCAAAATGTTTTCAGTAAATTAAAAATGACCCTGTATAAAAACTTATCTGATGGTCTAAATTTTATACGAGTAAATAATTGTTTGTGCGTTTGCAAGCGATCGTGTAACTTCTGATCTGAACTGACACTTTGTGGACCAATTTACACAATATTTGTTTTATCAAAAACTATTACAATTCGTAGCTATATAGAATCCAATTACTAGTTTGATCCAGTTATGTAAAAAATAACCTTTATTACATTCAGTTTTCTGCTACTAAAGAAAAACACAAAATCTCGGCCAAATAAATGAGCTGTCTTATAGGCATCCATAAATATTTCTAAAAGTACACAAAAGTATATGGCAGACTATAACTAGAATCACGCGTAATCAAATAAATAATTTTACCTGGCAGGTGTCAACGCCACCCTCTAATATGCCGGCGCACATCTGATGGGATCTTAGGCCACGCCAATTTCTGTTGCGATATGGTTGAAGAATCAAATCACATTGTGGAGTATCAATGATGTCCACCACCGCAACTTGGAGTGCGTACGAGTGGGAATCTGTTAATAATATTTATTTGAACTAGTAAAGTATATTTGGATAATGAAGTTAAACCCCCAGTAAGTACCTAAGAGTTTCCAGGTTAGAACATCTGTCATGATAACAGCGATTCTGAAAAAAATCCAACCAGAAACCAATTCCCGTTTAAAAGAAAAAAAACTTTAAAAATACTTCAAAAAAAACACTAAAAAGTAAAAAAATAACTGATTCGTAGTTTTCAATTACTATAGATACCTCCTAATGAGATATGTCAGTGCCAGCCGATACAAATCAAGAATGAAAACTATGACTAATCAGTTATTTTTTTACTATTTACTGGGTTTCTTTTCAAGTCGGAATTTTTTTTAATAAAGTTTATATTTTTCTGTTTTTAGTGTAAACATAATAATAGCAAAGTAGGAAGAAAATATTTTAAAAATTCAATAAGTGAAAAGTCCATCATCCCCTATTTTCTACATTTTGGGGTGGGTTTTTTTTTAATTTAAATGAGACTGACTTTGAAGTAAATTGTATACCTCAAAATAATGTGTAAAAAATATACGTGTCGAATTGTGAACCTACTCCTTTTTTTCGTCGGTTAATAAAATACAGCCATTTAGACGGAGAACAGACAGATTTTAAAAATGTATTCTAGAAAACGTAAAGCTTTTTAAAACCTTCGCGTAATATAGATAAGTGTAAGTAATAAGTATACATAAGACTACTAATAGTATAGTACTCTATGACCTATATCATATTAGTAAGAAGTAAAATTAAGCTTTTTTGTGTTCAAATTACTTGAAATCCGATGTTATTTAAACTACAAGTATACCTAATAACTCCCCCCCAACGTGCGTTCACCTTGTCGTGGTGAGGGGGCTCAGTAGTAGTAGCGAAGCTAAGAAACACACAGGGAGGTTGCCCACTTCGGTGGGCGGTGGGAGGTGGCCCTCTTCGGGGGGCGGTGTACCTTGCGGGTTGCTCTTGGTACTTCTCTGATAGCAGAGTGGACCTTGGAGCAACCCCATGGTTGTGGTGGTCTGCTTTGGCAGACCTGCCGTCGGGGCGTCGTAGTTGAATGCGTAAGCGATCCTGCGACGCCCCATTAAGACGGGGGAAGGTTTTGTTGGGTTTTAGTGGGTAGTACTGGCTGTATTACGCCGGTGAGTCCCACACGTCGTGCGTAAATGCATTTCCCAACGTTAAAAAAAATACCTAATAACTACAATGTATTAGCAGTATGATCTTACCTGCTTCAGTAGACCCCCAACCAGTAATAGTCCCATTTTTGCCAAGTGTTTGAAAATTTTGATAAGACCAAAGACATGCTGGTTGTATATTGCTCATAAACTTTACTTCAGAGACTAACTCTATTAAACCGATGTCGAAATATTTTTTCGGTGGGTCGTACATCGGGTGGACTATAAATCTCTTGATTTCTATATCTACTGGGTCACCGTACAAAAGGAACTGAAAAAATAATTATTTTATAAAAAAATATAATAGTTCGAAAAATCTTAAATGAGATATATTCGCAAACCAGCCAACTCCACTTTTTGTCAAAAAATTATTTAAAATTTGCGCATATGGAGTTAGCTCGTTTGCCAAATAAGTTATCGATATGTTAGTATAAATGTGTATATTGAATTTATAATACTAATCCAAAAATATATTATGGACATTACTATAATGGCCTGATAGTACTTTCCTACTTGATGAAATCAAATGATTCAATATTACATAATTTTTTTTAAGTTATACCTCTTTTGGCGCGTTATGTAAAAAATGATGAAAGTGAAAGTTCTTACGATGCGACAAATTTAGACTACAGTATGAAGTTAGTCGTCAAATCTCTCTTTAGTATAGATAGTGTGAAGTGATATCTGTATTCAAGATATTTATTTTGTTATTTCTATATACACAACACGTGTTTCATATCGGTACAAAAAAAATTTTTACAAGCTTTCATTTAGTTTCACCTGTCCCGGTGTCCGTCTGTAATAAAATCTTGCAAGTTAAATTTGACCCACTTCCCTGTGTCCGATTGAACTGAAAGGCACATAGTTTGGTTCTCGTGATTGCACGGTTACCTAAATGCCGCCATTTTTAATCCAATTTAGCGGATGTTACAAAATAGTGATTTATAATAGTGACTCTTATGATATGGGCATCAAACGATAGATAGGGCTTGATGACCAAAACACAATAATCAAAGTGACGTCATTGTAAATCCAATATAGCGGACTCTCAAAGATGGCGGACTATGTTTTTTATGCATCCCCATAATATGGATATCTAAAGAAATGGATCGTTTAGAAGAATACGAATAAAATAAAATCTAAAAAACGAAAAAAAAAGAATCAATAAAAAAAACAAAAAACAAGCTTTTATTTAAATGCTCAAAAAACCAAAGAAGTATAACTTCTTACGTGCGTAAATAAGTACATACACACTTTTTTTCACTGATTTATCATTTATCATAATATCATTTCACTTACAAATCAATTTTATCATTTTTATTAATGAATATATATCTACCTCATTGTCTTCAATAACTTGAAGACCGAGTCGTACAACCTCAGGTTCATTTCCAACAATATCGAATACTCCTTTCAATGATATTTTAGAACAATGTGCAGCTGTTAGTAAGAAATTTTTACTAATTAGTGTCCCTCCACATTTGAAGACCCACTTTTTCCACATTTTTGTTGTATTTCTTGCTCTCCATCCAATTGCGCCCTAAAAACGAGAACTGTACAATTTTGACTTAAAAAAACACTAAACTTTGCTGCGTTCTCCAGCTTATGCTTGAATGTTTTTTTTTAATTGCATCTCGAAAAATTTTACCGTTTTCGAAACAAACTTGGTTATACCTCTTTAGAGGTAAATTCATAAACTATTTTTTGGCGGTTACCATTTTTCGAACTTTAGTTCCAGCAGTTCGGTCGAGGTGTTCATAAATCATATACGACAAGCAACTTTATATCTATGGAAGAAGAGCATGATAATCCTACCATGTGTGGAAACTCTCGTGCCACTGCATGGCGGCCGCCGAATATTACCGGCGAATTGATTGTAAATATATATTCAGGAATATTACCTTTTTTAACCTGATTTATTACATACATTTCACCTGAAAATCATATAAATGTCATAATAGATTTTCTCTACTATTTATTAAATACAAAAATCGAATTTAATTTTAGTTTCAATTTCATGTTTTATTACATAAATCCATTTACTTTTATAAAAAATTATCTCATATGTTTGTTGATTTTAAATATAAAAATAATTATCTTAAGGACTGAACAAGGTGAGAATCACGGTCTCTTAAAGTACATATATTTATGTATGAAGATCGATTACTCAATCGTCAAGTTTAAGTGAAATTCGTAGGTACTCACAAAGTTCAGCCCGCTCAGTTGCGTTTTCCCTTTTTTTCAACTCCCAGATGTATTCGAGGCATTCTGAAAAAATAATTATATAATTGCAGTAATATTTTAAGAGTACTTAAATAATGTTTTTTTTGCCTACAATGAAATATAGCTATAATAACTTTTGCCCGCGGTTCTGATCGCGCTGTTTATTTACATAATTAAACATCACTTACTTATTTCGCTGATTCTCCGTCCCGTTGCAGTAAAATCCGGCATTTTTGGTTCATATGCATCACAGTATCCTTTGTAATTGTCAAAAATAAAATATGTTGTATCATTTTTCTGAAAATAAATTTTAAATTTCCAATTATCAATGACTAAAAAACTGATGGGATATTATTCTAAGTATTCAGTTCACTGAAATTCGAATTACAACTTTAATGGGACACCCACATACAAGGGCAGGATTTGATCAGAAGAAACACAGCGCATAGTTTTCATGAAACCAAATCATAGAAATAATATGTATAAGTATTTATTTAAGAATGTTATTGTTAAATAGGATAAAACGATAAAGAGCCTTTATAAAGATTGATTATTTAAAGTTATAAAGAACTAGCGACTAACCCTCGTTTCGCTCGGGTTCGTCCCTAAGTTGATTCCCCATACATTCATGACTATTTTCACCCCTTAATGAATGATTTCCGGAATAAAAAATACTTTATGTCCTTTCCATGATCTCAAACTATCTTCTTACTAAATTTCATCTAAATCGGTCCAGTAGTTTTTGAAGTTTAGAAATTACTTCCAAAGTATTTGAATTATACCCAGATGTATCCTACAACTAATACACAAAAATGTAATACCTAAATGTATATTTATTCTAATCTATACATATAATAAAACTAGAATTGCTCGCGGCTCAGCCCGCGTTCAGGTGACTAAAAACCAAATTCTTAGGTTTTACGTATTAGTATACTCTAACATTGCAGTTTTTGTATTTTTTCTCAGAAATCCTCAGAAAAGAAATCTAAATAAACGTTAAAACGTAAGTAGGGACAAACCCGAGCGCAGCGAGGGTGAATCGCTAGTAATATAATAATTTCGTAACTCTTTAATAGATTTTATTCTATTTTTTTTATTAATGATTTACTTCACGTAACCTACTTCACTATACAGTAATGTTATTTTGCTTTGAAACTAAGGAAGTAAATCTAAATTACATAATGTTTTTGTACTATTTGCGTCAGGGTAAAACCGTACTTATATCTAAAGAGTTGTTCTAATTTTTTTTTCCTTCTTTAACGTAATAATAGAGCAATAAAAAGACGAATCAAACCAAAATATTTCATGAATCAAACGTCATATTTACGACTAGCAACTCACCCTCGCTTCGCTCGGGTTCGTCCCTAGTTACATTGTAAGGTTTAGTATAGTTTTCTCAGAGATGAGATATTTTCCCGCAGTAAAAAGTATCCTATATGTTGACTCGGATAACCAGCTAACGTTTTACCAAATTTAATCAAAATCTATCCAGTGGTTTTCTCGTGATGCAGTAACAGACAGATAGACAAAAATTCAAAAAACTATAGATTCGGAACTATAGTTCTCTGTACAATAATATAAAAATATAGACTATTTTTATAAGATTTAAAAAAAATATTTATCAAAAGAATATTCTAGAAATTAAAAATAAAAAACCAAGAAACAGTTAAAAACTATAACTTTTGTAGAAAACATTTTTCGATAGAACGTCACAATAAGCCGCAAATTGAAAAAAAAATTTTTTCAACGGTTTGCGTCCCGCATTTCTCGGGGGTAGCTGGGCATGTGGGGCATTTTACGAATTTTTATTACTTATAGTTCTAATATTTTAAAATCATAAAACTTCAGGTTTTAAATACTCCGGAATCCGGTTTGGGAACACCAAACCGGATTCCGACAGGACTACTAATGTTAGTTGATCAGTTTTTGTTATTTCTGTTATTTGTAATAAAATGTACTAAAATCTTAACTGATTCAACGTTTGTACTCGTATGTATTTATTACACGGTTACATCGGTTCTACGACTGATTAAGAACAAAAAGAACCTTAAAGAATAAATATATATATATATATATATATATATATATATATATATATATATATATCTTGTATGAATAGTTTCATTTATAATTAACATTTTTCAATCTTTTTTAGGGCCGATCACACTATAGTTCCGATCTCGGTCCGAAATCGGTTTGGTAAAGTATTTTTATACAAGAAACTTTGTTGGAGTGTTACTTGACCGGAACTTAAATTTTACTGATAGTGTGAATACACTTATTGTTTCCTGTATAAAAATACTTTATCACACCGATATCGGACCGAGAACGAAACGTGATCGGCACTATAGTGTGTATCGGGCCTTAATATGACATTAGTATCAGCATATACATATAGCGCTTTTCTTTAAATCTAGATATCATTACAATTTAATAGGCGTTGAAAGCTACTTTTGATAAAAATCCGCTATTAAAATGTTCTATTTTATTTTCAATATATAATTTTATTATACATAATACTATATTTACGAGTATAGCGTACTAAAGTAAAAAAATAACGACCTCTTGAGTACAAAATAAAGAAGTAAAACACATAATATTTAACTCACTCTTATTGCCTCTAACACATCCTTTTGTACGTCGAACGCTGAGAATTGGAATCCATGTACCGCTGAAATCATTTAGTTATAAAGTTTTTGAATTAAAAAGAATAGCCCAAAACAGAACAATTAAAGAAAATTTAGCATTTGAAAAGTAAAATTGATTAGTATTTACAATAGAATATCTTTTAAACTAACCTTTAGTACTTAAACGCGAGATTATAACCTTAATTTTTAAAACAAAAAAAACATTCAAAATAAAACAAAAACTCATAACTATAAAAAACCCGACTGCATAAAAGCTAATTAAAACGATGGAAACAATTTGACGAAGGTATATACTATTATGCATTCGGAGACATACACGTTTCATCCTTGCAACGAGATGTAAAAATATATGTACGTCTCCATACATACATACACATACACTGATAAACACATTACCCTCCTTTGCGTCGCACAGTCGGGTAAAAAGGGCATGGATTTGATGTTATGATATTATTGATAAGTACATACGTCTTAGTGCTTATTGTTCAAACTACCAATACTTGTTGTACTTTACAGTAGAGAGTATATCCTCCATTTTCAAAACAAAACTTTATTTCTAAAATTTATATTCATGTATATAAAAACATAATAATAATAATATAAGCCTTTATTCAGACATGGTTTTACAATAAAGATTACAAACTATGTTCACTTGTTTTATTTTTATACAAATTACTTAAGATACATATTTGATTTTAGTTTAGTTTTACTTATTCTATGTATATATTTATCTAAATTTTTTTTTACGATATATATATATATATATATATATATATATTATATATATATATATATATAGATATATATATATATATATATATATTTAGTTTAATATATGTTTTTTTACAAGATTACTCTGCCTCGACAACCTTGTCTGTTTGCCCTTTGTTGGCAAAGGCCTCCTCCAATTTTCTCCATATCTGTCTATCTCTAGCTAGTCTGATCCATGTGCTGCCTGCCACATCCCTAATGTCATCATCACATCTTTTGAATGGTCTACCCCTTTTTCTTTTCATGTGACCTGTATACCAGTTCATTAGTGTGTTACTCCATTTTTCTTTTCCTCTGATTGTATGTCCAGCCCATTTCCATTTAAGTTTCTTGATCATGACAGATACATCTGTTGTTTTTGTATGATTTTTTATCGTTGATATTTTTACTCTATCTGACAGTTTTAATCCCATCATATTTCTGCTCATTGCATTTTGACAAATTTCGATTTTTTTACTTTGTGCTTTTGTCAGGGGCCAAGTTTGACAGCCATAAGTCAGTACTGGCAGTATACAGGTATTAAAGAGTTTTCTTTTAGTGAGCATTCTAATGTCTTTATTTTTCAATATTTCTTTTAAATTCCAGAATCGTTTCCATGCGTTTCCTATACGTCTTTCCATTTTTTTTGTTGCTAAATCTTTAGTTGAAATAATTTGACCCAGATATACATATTCATCAACATACTCGATGGTGTTGTCCTTAATATATATATATAGGTTCTTTTCCCCCGTTTGTCATGACTTTGGTTTTCTGTGTGTTCATTACTAGTCCTGCTTTTTTGCTTTCCAACTCCAGTTCATTTATCATCCTCTCAATATCATCCTTTTTTTGGGAGAATATTACAATGTCATCTGCGAATCTCAAATGTGAGAGATTATTCCCGTTTATTGTTAGACCACATTGTTCCCAGTTTAATTTGCGGAAAATCTCTTCCAAAACTGCGGTGAATAATTTAGGTGACACTGGATCGCCCTGGCGGACACCTCTTCCTACCTTTATTTCTTTTCCTTCTCGCTCCAGTTTGATTTTTGCTTTACTATTTCTGTAGATGTTCTTTAGTAGTCTAATGTACTTATTTTGAATCCCCTGGTTCTTAAGTGCTCGCCATATCGCCTCATGTTCTAGAGAGTCAAAAGCCTTACTGTAGTCTACAAAGCAGCAGTAAAAGGTGGTGTTGTATTCCTTGCTCTTTTCGAAGACTTGCTTTACTACATAGATATGATCTAGGGTTGAATAACCACTCCTGAATCCTGCTTGCTCTCTAGGCTGATTCACATCCAGTATCTTGGTTATACGGCTTAGGATCACCTTTGCAAAAACTTTGTAGATATTGGTCATAATACTAATGGGTCTGTAATTGTTTATGTCATTTTTACTTCCTTTCTTATGTAGTAAAACTATTGTTGATGTTGTCCATTGATCTGGGATTAACTCGCTTTTCAAAACATCATTAAATATGTATGTAAGAATGGGTGCTACAACGTCTTTATTTTCTATAAGAAATTCATTTGTGATGTAATCGGGACCAGGAGCTTTGTCCTTTTTTTGTGATGTTATTGCCTTTTCTACTTCACTGAGCATTATTTCTGGTACCGTATCATCTCCTGATAAATCTGTCGACTGATTGACTATGTAATGGCTCGTATACAAGTCTTTGAAGAAATTTGTGGCTAATTTGTTGATATCCGATCGCCTGGTTAAGTTTTTGCTGCATGTGGTTTTCATTTTAGGTATCCAATCTCGTTTCTCTGATAGTTGTTTAATTGCTTTCTTGGCTCCTCCCGTTTTCTGGATACATTTCTCTAACCTTTCTAATGTATATTTTTCTTTATCTTTTCGTATGTTTATGTTAATTTGCTTGCTAGTTTCAGTTATGCTCCTTCTAATTAGTTTTGTCTTGTTTGGCTTACTAAATAGTTCAGATCTATTTGCTAAAAGATTCTTTGTCTTTTCGGATAACCATGGTAATCTCTTGTCTATTTCTTCAGATGTTTTCTTTGTTGTCAAAGTTTCTATAAATTTATCGTATTTATCCTGCGTGTGGAGTTCTTTAGTGTTATCAATGAAGTTTCTCAATTTCTCTTTTAATTCTTTGGTATCTAAGAACATGCCTTTAATTTCCGGTTTAACTTTAAATGGCCTTTGTTTGTTTAATTTTAGTTCCAGTTTCGCTCTGAGTGCTCTATGATTGCTATTAAAGTTAAGGTTATTTATTACTCTACAATCATTAAAAGTTGTACTTCTGTTGGAAAGAATATAATCAATCTCGTTTTTGTATCTGCCATCTGGAGATTCCCAGGTCCATCTATTTCCAGTACAATTTTTGTATTGGCTGTTGAGTATTCTTAGATTATATTCATATGCAAATTGGATGAATTTCTCTCCGTTTCTTGTCCTTTTACCTGAGCTATAAGAGCCTAGCACTATTTCTTCTCCATCTCTTCTATTACCTATCTGTGCATTGAAATCTCCCATGACTATCAAGTTTTTATATGCATGGTTTTTAATTGCTTCTGTTAGAGTAGAGTAGAAGGAGTCTATTTCTGTGTTAGTCGACTGCTGTGTTGGTGAATAGACTTGAACAATAGACCACATTTTTCTTGATGGTGGCAGCTTGATGTTTAGTATTGCAATACGCTCTGATATACCTAAGATTTCATTAACGTTATCCTTTAGTTCCTTCCGTATTAAGAAGCCTACTCCATGTTTACCTGGTGTATCCCCTTTGAAATAAAAAATAAATTTGTTATGGTCTTCTATGGTTTCTCCTAGACGCCGTACTTCACTCAGTCCTATGATGAACCAATTCACATTTTCTAATGCCATCATTAATTCTGACAACTTTTCTTCTGTTCTTAACGAGAGTGTATTATATGTAATTATATGTAGCATATCTTTTGGACGAGGTTTGGGTGGCTGTATATTTTTATTTGGAGGGTAGTAGTCGGCTTCCCCCACGGTGACTAGCCGGCTTGGGGTGCATTTGTTCAGTGTTGGTTTCAATATGTAGTTAGCTTTGTTTATGTTCCGGTTGTCGAAGGCAGTTAATTGATTTTTGATATCTCTGACAGTGAACTAGATCTTCCTCTTACTACATAATTTAATATATTAGGTTTTATTATATCCTTTGCATTAATTGCAGTTGATGTCTTTGCGATGTTTGGATTTGATCTTTTTGGTGGTGAGTTTGGCGAGCCAGTCTGCTTTCGTTTCCTTTTTTCACGATTTACGTCATTCGATTTCTTAACGATTAGCTTGCCGTATTTTATGAATGCAAAGTTTCCCTTTTTTCTTTCTTCTTCAACTTTTGGTTGCAGTTGCTTTCGGATTTCTAATATGTGTTTCAGATAATCTTCTTTTATATAAATTCTAGGTGGAAGGTTGGATTTGTTTTTAAGTATCAAATGTTTTTTCCAAATTGTCGTCAAGGTAACAACAACTGGTCGATTCTTGTTTGTTTTTGCTCCGATTCTGTAAACATTACATATTTCCTGGCTATCTAAATGTAATCCTGCATCTACTATAATTTCTTTTATATAGTCCACTAACTCAGATTCCTTTTTTCCCTTTTCTTCGACGCCAAAAAATACTAAATTCTTTTTTCTTTTATCTATTTCCATTTGATCTAATTTTTGTTCAAGTTTTGTTATTTGAGTTTTTAAGTTTTTGTTTTCTTGCATGATAGACTCCATCTTATCGTTTATTGCTTCCATAACATTTGTAGTTACTACTGTTGTTATTGCTGAAGTTTGTTGGTTTAATTTATCCTCTAATTTTGCCCAAAGCAGTTCAATGCTTTTGTCCATTTTTAGGGAAAAATTGGAATTTAGCAGTGCAACACTTTTTGGTAGTTTCTTATTTTTATAAGCTGGCAACCCTACAGTATTAATGTCACTATTTTGATTTTTAAACTATGTTGGATGAAGAATATGGCGGATTATGAACTTTCACTTTTAATTGTCAATTTGGAGTTTGTTTCGAGATTATTTTATGATGTAATTTTATTTGCACTGTTCCTATTATTTAATTCCCCTTCTTTGCAGTTTTATTATGAAATTATTTACAAGTTGTGTTGAGTGTTCGCTATTTTGTCACTTTTTAATTAATTATATTCGGAGCTCACTTAGGTACGTGTTTACTTATACAACACCGGTGATTACCGTATATAAAAACATACATACAAATAAACATAGAACCTTCCCCTTTTTGGAAGTCGGCCAAAAAATATATTTTTTAATAAAAGGTGTATTTTAATACCAATACAATTTACATTTACAAGTCAATAATTTTGTATTTAAAACTCTTTTGGTAAATTGGTCGTTTCAACAAATAAGCTCTAAAACAATGAGTATACTAGTAATAGATTAGTACATACCAACAAAAATGCTTGCAGAAACTAGCAGAAACCACATTTTAATTTAATATAATTACACCTTTAAAATAGCTCCACGCGCGTGAATACGACGTGTAGTGTCTAAGGCATTATTGAGGTTGCACAACGTTAATAAACATACCAGATACAACGAGTCATGCTCAGCTATTTGATTGGTCCATTATTACTATAAATTTAATAATAAAACTAATAATCTAATTATTTTATGTATATTTTATATTTGTTCGAAATATTTGATCTGGAGAAAAAGTAATTTTCATGGGCGATGAACGGTCGATGGAAACAAACACCTTTATTATACATTTATAAATTCTTCTTTATTTATTCTTGCGGTCAATTTTATTTTTATTTTATTTTATTTTTTTTTTTTTTTTTTTTATTTATTAGGGAAACAAACAGTACAAATTGATACAAATTAAAAAACAAAACATAAAATATAAATCATTGACCAATAAAGTTTCCACAATTAAATAGTACATAGAATAATGCGAGCAAATTAATTACAATTAAAAAAAAAATTAACATTAAATAAAATAATAATCATATGAATAGAAAATAATTAATGTTTTAGTAATAATTACATAATTATAGTTAATAAAGAGTCGCAAATATAATTTGACACAAATAAAAATAATTTAAACTAGGTCATTTTTTTAATTTGTTGAGTTAACTTCTGTAACGAACCCGTAAAGTAATCAATTGAACAGTATTCTTTGTTATATAATAAACAAGAACGATGAATGAAGGCATTTTGTGCATATTTGGTACGTGTAGTATTTAAATAAAATAAAGATTTAATTCGCGAAGATTGTCTTGGACATCGGAAGTTAATGGTGTTAAGAAGAAATGGAGAGTCAATAACATTATGTAGTAATTTCAACAGAAATGTTTGGTCCTTTATCTTACGACGTTTTTCCTAAGAGGTCAAATTAGGAACAACTTGATCAGTAGCGGAACATCTAAATCTTAAATGCTTTAAGAATTTTGTTTGAATTTTCTCTATTTCTTGAATGTGGACTTTGTAATGTGGATTCCAAATCACCGAACCGAATTCTAGTATAGAGCGAACGAATGCGTTAAAGAGAAGAATCAGGGTGGTATTATTCTTAAAATCCTTACTAATTCTGAGAACAAAACCAAGCATCCGATAGGCTTTTGCAGTCGCATATCTATAGTGTTGACTAAAGGTTAACGAGGAATCAAGGTGAAGGTGAATACCCAAATCTCTCACCCCTAAAACCCGTTCAATAAGATTTTCGTTTAAAGTGTACTTGAAATTAATAGTATTTTTTTTGCGGGAAAATGATATTACGTTACACTTTTTAATATTAAGTTGTAAGAGATTATCATTGCAATACTTACACAATTCATTAAGATCATCCTGTAATAAACTACAATCAGAAGGTTTACTTATGGTTTTATATATCTTCATATCATCAGCATAGAGTAGAATTGAAGAATGTTTAAATACCGCAATAATGTCATTAATGAATAAATTAAATAAAAGGGGTCCAAGATGAGAACCTTGGGGCACACCAGAAGTAACAGGCACAAACGTAGAGCAGTAACCTTTAATTGTAACCGCCTGGCTACGATCTCTAAGGTATGAAGTAAACCAACGGAGGAGGTCGCCATGTATACCGAGTTCTTCAATTTTACGAATCAAGGTTACTTGACAGATTTAACGTAACGGGTTAAATATTAAGATATATCAAAGATAAATATGATTCAGTTTTATCAACCAAGGCTTAGACGAATACGAGAATAGAGTTATAGGTACATAATTGCCAACATATTATCAAGACTTTTACAAGATACATTTTACCATGAGTATTAGAAAACCACAAAATCGTTTCACACTATTGCTTTTAAAAGTGAATATTTCATATTTTTTATGATAAAATTCAGAAGGAACGTGGTTTTTAAAAATGCTTCAATAAAATTTAATAACAAAAAAATCAAATTACATGGTAAATAAAATTGTTATCTTAATTATAATATTTATGTACTTTTAGAATTAATATTATGAGAATATTTCCATAATATATACTTTTTAAAAAGCAAAAATGCAAAAATGATAATATGAGGGGAGTAATCGTGTCTTCTCCATCCTTCGTGTTATTGGCTAAGTAATCTGTGCTCAACTAAACCGTTTTAAGCCAAAAACAAAATAATTGAATTGTAAAATAAATAAAAATATCAAATATATAGGTACTTTGAAACCAATAAAACTCAATCTAGCAAACACATTCAAACAATATAGTTTCTATAAAAATGTGTTTATTTATAGTAAAGCCAGTCATCTCGTTAATTATGATATTAATGAAGGTTTTCCTTATTTACCGTATTAGCACAGTTATAAAAAACTAGTGACTCAGCCTCGCTCCGCTCGGTTCGTCTCTTGGTACGTTTTAACGGTTAGTATAGATTCCTCAGAGATGAGATATTTTCCCGCAGTAAAAAGTATTTTAAATGTTGACCCGGATAACCAGCTATCATTATACCAAATTTCATCAGAATCTGTCAAGTGGTTTTCTCGTGATGCGTTTCCAGACAGACAGACAAAAATTCTAATAATAAAAAAGACCTAGTAGTAGTAGAATTCTAGTAATAAAAAAGACTCAATAAATTACCTATGGTATTCCACAACGCTCAATATTAGGACCTTTGTTACTTCTTATATACATAAACAATATAGTAAATAAAACTATCACGTCATTTCTCACTCTACGCAGCTAGCACTTATCTTTTTTACTTTGCACATTCAATTCATGAAATTATAATATATCACAAGCACAAAAGGATTGGGGCATATTAAATGAGTGGTTTCTATACAATCTTTTCATAATTATTAATACGACTATAACATCTTTTATGATTTTCTGTGCTAAAAAAAATACTTCTTACTTAACTACTTGTATTATATTTTATTACAATATTTTTTTGTATAAAACACAATGTTGTGTATTATTATATATAATTTATTATATATAATTTATTTTATTTCATGATAAATTTTTGCTTTTATTGTTTTTATTTTGTCTACTGATAAAATAAATTTATTTAAAATTATAAAGCCTAGTTATCAAGAATTAGACTAACGCAATGTTAGTATTTCTTGAGAAAGCGCGCTGCGACCGTTATGACTAAAGAAATTATTTACAAAAGTTTACAAATTAGTCAGCATCCGAGTCTTCGGACATAAAATTGTGATCTCCAACTTCAGAACATTCTTCGTCATCGCTTTCTGTTTTAGTTGCTTCCACAATGTCTTCTATCCTGAAAGGTGTTTGATCCCCAAAGGACCCTAGTGGTTTTAAATATTCATCTAAGAACCAATCTGATCTTTATTTTAACTTAAAAGTTAATTCATTAACCAGACCAGTGCAAGTTATTAGTATCGATGTATATGTTGTGACGAGAAAAAATAGTCAAACTAAAGTTTGCATATTCTATAGGCACCAGACTTTCCATTGGTATGGAATTTGTCTATTAACCAAACCAGTGAAATGTGTAAAAAAAATATTTTTTTAATTGTTAATTAATCATATTCTGGACTGAAATTTTTCAAGTCAACCCATTATTTATAAATCAATATATTTATTGACATATTTAATTTGATATATAAAAACTTAAAAAAAGCTGACTGCCAAGCACTAAAATGTAAAATATAACTAAACGGGGGTTTTCATTTAGAATAAATAGCTAATCAGATATTTTCGAAGTCGGTACGTGAAATAAATATTTACCTATTAGATAATCATATCTTAAAATATTGTCGGTTTAGTTACACCATTTATAACTCATGAACAGCTGGACCGATTTTTATTATGTTTAATTTGTTGGATTTGTCTTCGCCGCGAATAGAATAACTTTAAATACATCGAAAATGTTACGAAAAAAAAATTTACATGACTAACGCTGTCTAAGAACGATTTATATCTATTTAAAACGCACCTAGGGACGCGTCCGAGCGAAGCGAGTATAAGACGCTAGTACATAATAAATATCTGTACAAAAGAACTTAAGGCAAATTCGTTCCGAGTATTTTAATTTCTAAGCTTAAGGCGTTTACGCTTGAGATACCTACCCAAGTTTTCTCTTCCCCAGCCAGAGGACAGGAACTTATAAAAACTAATAATACACATCTTGCCAAGATTTGGAGAATATGTGCGTAAAGTGACTAAGTTAATATTTCAGCTTTATAAGAGATCGTCAGAAGAAAAATATTGTGTGTCGATCCATTAATCTATGAATATGTAGCAAGGAATGATAATTTATAATATATATTTATTATGATTTCTTTATTGAGCTATAAAACACATAAACAGTAAACAATATTACATACAAAAATGATGAGAATTTTTTTTTTAAACATTTAAATCATACAGACAATTATTTGACAAGAAAAGACTTAATCATCACCTTTAACACGCAACAACGCAACACAAATTAACTTCAAACAAACAAACAAACAAACAAACAAACAAACAAACAAAAAAACAAACAAATAAACAAACAAGCAATATATAAGTAGTGTTCTGAATTTTTTGCTCTGTGGAAAATGACCGCAAGTTTCTTGATCGATTGCCAAATATTTCTTTAACTTCTAACTTCTGAACTTAAGTATATAGTATGCACATTATTGTCAAAAATATATTAATATATTTAGTAATTAATAGCTATATTTAAATTTTCTAGTCTTATTACTACGTATGAAAAATGTTATACAATTAAAACATCACAATAATGATTTTCAAACTCACTCTAAACAAAAAAAAATTACTAATACATAGATTTACATAGTACGAACGGACATTTAATGCAGTTTATTTTAAAATGATATGATAAATAAGTTATGAAGATGATCCCCAAACTTGTTCTTCAATCCAATCTATGAAACTGGACATTCTAGAATAGACACCGGGTTGATTTGTTCGTCCACATCCGACTCCAAACGACGTGATACCTAGTACCCAGTAAATATTATCCCCTTCCGTCAAAGGAATTTTTACTTGCAATGGGCCTCCTGAATCACCCTGTAAAAAAACTTCTTGTTTAGCTAACATATACATGACAGGGCATAGTTTATTACTAGTAAGTATTATTATTTATTAGTAAAAGAAACGCGTTTTTTGTTCAATCAGAACGAAAAGATCCCATCTGACCTATGGGACAAGGCGATGACAAAACAATAGTCTATAATAAAGACTATTTACCTCAATACAGGAACTATCTCGGGGTCAGTTGGAATACGAAAATCTAATTTCTATCATCTTTATGTTACAGGAATAAACAATGCTTGGTACATAAGGTTATTATGTCAAAAAAAGTAAATGACAAAATCAAGAGTCGATAAATACGTTTTGTTAATTATCAATAAGTTTTAAAATTCAATAAATATAAAACATATTCAAGATAACGTAAGATAAGATAACCTTGTATTTTGAAATCTAATGTTTACCTGGCAAGTGTCAACACCACCGTCTAATAGGCCGGCGCATAACTGATGTGATTGTAGGCCATTCCAATTTCTATTGTGATATGGGTGAAGAAGAAGAATCATGTCACATTGCGGAGTATCAATGAAGTCCACCGTCGCAACTTGGAGTTGTTTTGATTGAAAACCTGTTAATTATATTTTGTGTTTATTTCAAGTAAAACTTTACAAATTGAATTGTTACATACAACAACTTTCTCGTATGATCTACATACAAAGGCAAATTCTGACTCCTGGTAAAACTTCCTTTGCGAGAATTAATTCCTAGCTAAGAGCTTGTGTCTTGTATATTTTTGCAACTCCAACCTTGTTATTGTGCACCTTACACTTAACCGAGTTAAGAGAAGAGTACATATTCTCACCTTTTTCAGTGTACCCCCAACCAGTAATGATCCCATTTTTGCCAAGCTGTTGAAAATCATGATTGGGCCAGAGACATGCTGGCTGTAAATAGTTCGTAAACTTTACTTCGGACTCTAACTGTATTAATGCGATGTCGTAATATTTTTTTGGTGGTTCGTAGTTCGGGTGGACTATAAATTTTTTGATGTTTATATCCATAATACGATCGAACAATAAAAACTGCAAAATAAGAAAAGTTTTTTTTATATTTATTAGCCTGAAGGATTCTACAATAAATGTTAGAATAAATATATTGTATATATAACACTGTAAATATATAAAACCTACGAATCTATAAATAAATATTATATGCATATTCTTATATGTAACCATATACCACACGCCAAAGGCTATAAAATATTACACACAACTTTATGCATACTTTCCGTTACGCTGAGATTATATAATTTAGATATTATAACATTGACTGACTAATATATTATATAATAGTTTTAGATAGCATAAATGTCTAAATAACGTTTTCATATTGATTTGGCCATAAAATATATGGGTGCAGTTTAGTATATGGGACGCGGCCCCTCGAGTAGTAAGTGGTATTTTTGGATAGGGGAGGCGAAAGAGAGTCCAAATATATAAAATTTATTTTGAGGAAACGATAGTGTCAAAAGCTATTGATACTTAAAGTTACAACATTATTATGACATTACTACTATTTTGACACTTGGAAATTTCAAAATGTCACTTTCAAGTGCCAAAATGATCTTCAAATAATGAGTCAGGTCTATCAACAAATTTTAAATTAACGTAGAGCACTAATGATAGCAGGATTGTGGATTGGATTGGAGAAGTCTAAGGCGGGAGCTACGCTACTCTTCGCTTCCGCCTTAGCCTTCTCTCACCCCACGTTATCCAAGTCGGACTGTCATTGTATTAATTCAAAACAAAAAATACACTTAGATTAAATAAATCTAGATACTGACGTTTGTAAACTGCATGAGACTTAAAACACTGTAAACACTTAAAACTATAGTAATACTATTAAAACAAAAACTAGAAACGAACGTATACGAAAATTAACAAAAACGCATAACTCCTTTAAAATAATATGAGAAAAATAACTACGTAAAATAGTAAAAAATATGAAAACCTAAACGCGTTTAATGAATACAGGTCGTATTCATATAAGCTATCGAACTTCGCGGTATTCTGTAACTACCTGCCAAAAATACTGAAAAGTATTCACGGATAATAAAATCAAATAATGGTTTAAATTTTTTTGCTAAATGTAAATTAATTATATTACTTAATATTTTACATAAAGCAAATAAAAACTCGTAAATTCATGCATGAATAAAAATAATATTATTATTTCTATTTCAAGATCTTAGTAATCTGATGACAATTTTTTAAATTTTTTTCAAATCAAATCAATTTTTACTATGCGATAATCTGGTATGTCCTGAAAGCGGTATATAAAACAGAAATTGATAGTTGGGTCAAAATTTTGATTATCAAAATATTAATACAATAAAGCCTTAATTGTTATTAAAATATGGATTTTACACGAAAAAGAATGTTTACTATTCGTTAAAGGTATGTTTATTTTTTGTAATTACTTATTTAGGTATAGAAATGTATGGAAATGTTCTAACTTTAAGTATTCATAACTTTTGACTCCTTCGTTTCCTCAAAATATTTTTTATATATTTGAACTCCCTACCACCTCCCCTATCCAAAAATACCACTCACTTCTCCAGGAACCACGTCCCATATACTAAACTTGTGCCAATTTGACATAAACATAAGTATTAATTTCTCTAAAAATATCTACCTCATTGTCTTCAATATCTGAAAGTCCGAGTCTTACAACTTCAGGTTCCGTTTGGGCAATATCGAATACCCTTTTCATGGATAGTTTAGAACAATGTGCAGCTGTTAGTAAGAAATTTTTACTAATTAGTGTCCCCGCACATTTAAAAATCCACATTCTCCATTTTTGTTCCGGATTTTTTGCTCTCCATCCTATTGCACCCTACAAATTATAAGAGTACAAAATAATTTTAATTTAATTTATGATTAACTGTTTCATTGACAAGCATCCTGGCTTATTCGAGCAAATTATTTTTAAATCCGACTCCTGAAAAATATTGTTTCTCATACAAAATTTGCCAATATTTTTTCCATCCTTTAGGGATCACTTTTACAAAAACCTAATGGGCAAAGAAAACAAACATGATGTCAACAATATTTCAGCCTTTTAATTCTTAATCTGGGGGTTATCCCTTTTAAGTAAGCGCTTGGAACCGATTTTGATTTACTGGTTAATCTATACTAATATTATAAAGACAGTTTGTTTGTTTGAATGCGCTAATCTCATGAACTACTATAACGGTCTTATGAATAAAACTAATAGTAGTAGTTAAATAATAATATAAAGCGAAAAAATACTTTGAATTAAGTTTACGTCTTAATATGATTGCAATGTACCCGAATGACCCGACAGATAGCCAATCTGTTGCCATGTATAAGCAAGCGAGCTCGTTAGGGCGAGTACAACTACAAAAAAAGGCGCTCATCCATACTCAAATTAGCTGGTTAGTTTCACTCAAAAAAAATCTGAATTTGAAAAAAACGGTATCTCAATTAACCGGTTAAAATACCGGTAATGGAAATCTAAACCGCATTCCTTTCTGGTTTGAAAATTTAACAGAACTGGACTCATTACAAACTATTTTATATATAAAATAAGAAGTAGAGATATACCATATGTGGAAACTGAAATGCCGATGCTGTCTTGCCGCCGAATATAACTGGTGCATTAATTGTAAATATATATTCAGGAATATTGCCCTTTTTAACCTGACTTATAATATAAAGTTCACCTGAAAAACACAAAAAAGATGAAATGAGAGAATTTTGCTCTGTTATTTGTGGTTAATTCACTTTTTAACATATTTTTGCTCCAATTTTAAGCTTTTTACGTTTTCATTTACTTCTATAAATATTGTATATATTTTTATAATAATACTGTGCAAAATTAAAATATAATACTTAATTTTCATGTTAAATAAAGTTATTTTTGAAGAGTCTTCCCGTTAAATCCGAATTAATAGTTTGTTTTAAAGTGTAAAATATTCGTATAAATCTAAGAAATTAAATTAATTTTTAAATTTAAACTATGTACGTACTAAATATTTATCACTTAAAATGGATAGAGAAACATCACACACAATCGTCAAAATTTTACTTACAAATTTTGGTCCGCTCCGTTTCGTTATATCTTTTTCTCAACTCCCACACATATTCTTGGCATTCTAAAAACATCGGATATTACAATAATGCTTAAATAATTAATTTTTAATACGTTATTACTTTTAAAATATCACCCATCAAATAATTTTAAAAACAAGTTTTAAAAATCTAAACAAACTATTAATATGAAAAAAATATAATCATATAAAACTAGCAGAACCCGCTCGCGCTAAAACTTCAAAACTCTAAAAAGGTAAGTTTCATAGAAACTTTCATCCCCTATTTTATCCTCTTATGGTATGAATTTCGAAAAATGCTTACACACGTATTTATTCAATTGTACTGAAGAACATTATTACCAAGTTTAAAGTCATTCTGATCATAAATATATTTTTTTGGTTGTATTATAACGTGTTTTCCCGTGGGAATGAGATAATCTCCCACGGTAAAAAGTAAGCCTATGTCACTCGCCAGCACTTCAACTATCTCTACACAAAAATCACGCCAATCTGTTGCACTGTTTCGACGTGAAAAAAGCACAAACAAACAGACACGCTTTCACATTTGTAATATTAGTATGGATTATATATTATTTTATATATATTTATATAATTTATAATTATATTTATATAATAATTAACTATAACACTTACTTGTTTCACTGATTCTACGTCCTGGTGCAGTAAAATCCGGCATTTCTGGTTCATAGGGATCACAATATCCTTTGTAATTGTCAAAATTAAAATTCGTTGTATCATTTTTCTGAAAATGACATACTTGCATTTAATTTCCAATAACTAATCAGTTCAGTTACAACCCGATTTTTCCTAAATATTCAGTTCACAGAATTGAATTATAATATGAATGAATGAATGAAATAAAACTATTCAAATAGACTTATTACAAGCACTTTTGAATCGTCAGCGTCATTGAAGTCAGTCCGTGAGGAAGCTACCACCGACTCGGAAAGTAGTTCTGTCGAGAAGAGCTGGCGAGAAACTCAGCAGTTGCTCTTTTAAATATCGAATTTACATTTATGAACATAATATTACAGATTGTCCGCATATCAGTCAATTTATATATATTACTTCCACACATGTCCATCAACAAGAAACTCTTGAACAGTGTAATAAGCTTTGCTCAATAAAATATTCTTTATAACTTCTTAAATCACAAAAAATATTAACTTAATACTTTCTTAGATTTACACGAATACTTGACATTTTAAATAAAACTATCTTTTCGGATCTTATCTATAAATACGCTAGCATTACCCGCGGCTTCGCCCGAGTCCAAACTTCCGATCGCTAACAAAATTCACAGAATCACCCGCTGGGCTAATCTGAAGATTACCTGAAAATTTCATCAAAATCACTCCAGCTGTTTTGGCGTCCATAGGAAACATACAAACACACATCGATTTTTATTTTATTAACAATTTATTTATTGCTCGAAAAATGGAGTCTATTATGAAAATTTAGTGACACGCCGACAGCAACGCTTCCTACTGGGTCCATTTGTGTTTTCAAACCATCCAGGAGCCCATTGAAATATACACACAAAATTTCATCCAAATCGGTCCAGTCCTTTAGGAAAAGTAGGTTAACAAACACACGTACAGAAGAATTATATATATTAAGATATTGTAGTAAAATAATAACGAAACGAAACCTTTGCAAGATTTTTTTATAAACCATGGACTTTGCGTTTTGTGTTCCGAATATAAATTCCAAAACAATAGCTGTCGACTTTTTGTCTGTTTGTTTCTTTGTTTGTTTATGTGCAAAAATACTCGACGGATTTAAAGGATATTTTACATAGTGATAATTAATTAATGTGGTCAACTAATAGAATACGTTTTACTACAGGAAAATCTCTAAGTATTACGTACGGGAAAATACAATAATTTGTCGTCGACCCGACGTCGGCGAGTTGTCCTTCATATAAAATTTTAAGTGTGTCTATTCATCCAATAATCGGATGAGTACAGGTACATGAAAGACATTTTGTAAATTTGTGGGTAGGCACTATCTGTAACAAGTATATTATAATGGACCTTGGAGTCTAAAAGCTAAGTCTCTCCCGTGACCATGATAACTGTAAAGCATTCGAAACGTCGGAAACCAAAAATCAAAATAAATCCGCGATAATATCCGAAAAGATAGTTTTATTTTAAATGTCAAATATTCACGTAAATCTAAGAAAGTATTATATAAAATTTATACTGAATTATGTAACATCACAGCCACAGAGTTCAGTTAAATAAGAAAATTTTAAACATATTACTTACTCTAAATGACTCTTTTAAGAACTCTTCTAATTCATGCGTTGAGTATTTGAATCCATAAACCCCTGAAATTATAAGCAAAAATATTAAAACCTATTTTGTTTTAGGTAATTAAGTAGAACTTACCCTTGCTTCGCTCGGTTACATCCCTAGTTTATTTTTTAGGATTTTCAATTTTCGCGCTGGAACCCCAAATATTTCCTGAATAAAACATACCCTCTATGTAGCCCTTCAAACTCCTCTATCCTTTAGCGAAAGTCCTATTCAAATCGGTTAAGCCGTTTCAAGTTTAACCCCCAGACACACAGAAAAAGAGGCAGACAAAACTTTTAAAAATAGTTGCTTAAGCACTGGTATCAGTCGAGAAAACATAGTTTTGAATTCACAAGTAGTTATAATGATTCAATTTTTGCATTGTAGCAACAAAGATGTACCCAGCACAAGACGACCTCCATAAAACTTGTTCACCATAACAATCGAAAAATAATAAAAACATTAGTATGCAGAGAATTAATATTTTATAAGATGGAAGAATATAAATAATATTATCATATTATAGCAGTATTCTACGTAGGTATTATAATATGAGATCAGTATTTACCAACAAAAATGCCTGCAAAAATGAGCGGCAACCACATTTTAATTTAATTTAAATACACCAATAAAACAGTTTCCACGCGTGTGTATATGTACACTCTATTGAACAAACTCTAAAGCACTATATTGAACAAGGTAAAAACCCGTGCTATGAGTCACGCTCAGCTATTTAATCGACACGTGCCTTTGCACGCGACTTTATTCATGTTTTGTTTAAATACTATAAACAACAAAAACCGCAAAAACACTGTAAAGCGAAAAATAAAGCAAACCGTTCTACCATCAATATCAAAACTAACGTAAATGACCAATATTGAATCGACAATATTAGATGTACCTACTCATTAACAGCTCCAGATAAATTTCTAAAAAATAATTAAATTTCTAAGAAATCTTTTGTTAACTGACACGCCGCGCAGGCGCGCGTCGTGTCCGCGGTCGTGGAGAGATTAATACCTTAAAAAAATTAAGTGGTTAACAAACCTTAGGCATGTGGGAAAAAAACAAACTTTGAGATATACGCTATTCAATTATTCGATGAAATAAATATTATAAATATTATTTAAAAAAACATTTTTAGAAACAAACTTTTATTTAAATGCTTTAAAAAGAAGAAAATAACCTTTAAATTAATTTAAACCCATCAATTTATTATATTAAACAATTCATATACTTAATATAAAAGCGTGTCGCGGGATTTACCTATTTTATAAAAAACAAGTTAGAATAATCTATTTCTAGATCAAGTTACACATTGTATTCATCAACACAGATAAATTTCGCGACAAGCTTTTATATTAAATATATAAATTGTATATTGTATTAAATTGATGAATTTGATTTAATTTAAAGTTTATAATATTCTTCTTTTTAGAGCATTTAAATAAAAGCTTGCTTAAAAAAATGTTTTTTTACTATTAATTTATTTTTTGTTTTAGTTATCCGCCATTTTGATGTTTTCACCGTCGCTAGAATTTGGTCGATATTAGTTAAGACATGACCCCGCCAAGTCTTGCCGTTTAACCGGACTGTAGTACACCATATTCTCGAAGAGTAGAACATGTATATAATTTTATTCGTATTCTTCTCAATAAACTTTAACTGATGGATATAAGGTTTGGCAATCTTTTAATTACTATTTTTTGACTAATGGCACATATTTAGCAATTATGATATATCTAAAATACCACTCAAACTCAGTTCATACCTTTATGTATAATGATACTTATCAACAGCGTGGTGGACTATGGCCTGATCCCCCTTGTATTGAAGGGAGGCCCGTACTCAGCAGTGGGACGTTAAAAAAAGGGGTTGAATAAAAACAATACAAATATTATTATTTTTTCAAAATTCATCCCTTAAGGCGCTTAAGCTTAAGATACCTACACAATTTTTCTATAACCCAGCCAAAGAACAGGAACTTTAAAAATTTCATAAGATACACCTTGCAAAGATTTGTAGTATATATGCGTATTGTGACTATAAGTAAATATTTCAGCTTTACAAGAGAACGTCAGAAGAAAAATATTATTTGTCTGCCCATTAATCAATGAATCCGTAGCAAGGAATGATAATTTATAATAAATATTTTTTATAATCTTTTTATTGAGCAATAAAACACATAAACAGTAAACAATATTACATACAAAATGATGAGAATTCATTTTTTTTTTAAGATTTAAATCATAAAGACAATTATTTGATAAGGAAAGACTTAATCATAAACCGCAATATTTAATACGCAACACAAACTTCATGCCAAAATAAAAACAAAAAAATAATACATAAGTAGTACTGAATTTTTTGCTCTGTGGTAAAATGACTGACCGCAAGGTTCTTGATCAATTGACTATTATTTTGCCAAATATTTCTTTAACTTCTAACTTCTGAACTTAAGTACATAGTATGCACATTATTGTCAAAAATATATTAATATATTGGTAATTAATAGCTTTAATTAATTTTTCTACGTTTATTACTACTTATGAATTTTTTTTTTGGATCGAGATCCCACTGCAAGATTACTACGTTCATTGCGTATTTAATCTAAATCATTTTTTTATATACAATAATAAAAGGGATAATATGTTTTGACCGGGGTGCCTATTCAAATATGCCCGCTAGTATGTTTAATTAACTAAATAATAGTTGACTTTTTGGCGGGTCATATTTTGGTATGTTTATGCATTCATAGCGTACATGCATCATTTATATATCAAATTAAAGCTAATTTTTTTCTGTACGTGATAAACTACATCTGACTATGTAAAAGTGGCCGCAAAAGTGGTTGCGAGTCATTAAAAATGTTTTTGTTACATTTATACGTTCATGGCGTATATTCATCATTTATATATCAAATTAAAGCTAATTTTTTTCTGTGCATGGTAAAATACCTCTCACCTATGTAGAAGTGGCCGCAATGGAAAGAAAAGAAGGAAATATAGGAAGGAATATAATATTATATGTCATTTGTTAGACAATAACAACGGTTACCATGGCAACAAACAGATAACTAACGCGCTACTCTGTTTCACTTTAATCTATCTTTGCCATGTGAACAGTATATAATAAATTAATTTCGATTAACGCAATGAACGTAGCAATCTTGCAGTGGGATTTTAGTCCATTTATACAATTAAAACATCACAATAATGATTTTCAAATTCATTCTAAGGAAAAAAACACTAATATACAGATTTAAATAGTACGAGAATTATTTATATAGTATTTTAATAGTACTTATTTAAGCTTACTTTAAAAAGCTATGATAATTAAGTTATGAAGATGATTTCCAAACTTGTTCTTCAATCCAATCTATGAAACTGGACACTCTAGAATAGACACCGGGTTGATTTGTTCCTCCACATCCGACTCCAAACGACGTGATACCTAGTACCCAGTAAATATTATCCCCTTCCGTCAAAGGAATTTTTACTTGCAATGGGCCTCCTGAATCACCCTGTAAAAAAATAATCAGTTTTAACTATTTATTAGTAATATTCTTAATTAATTGTTTAACTTTTTTCCGGTTCCGGTATATTTGTTAGCAAAAGAAACGCAATTTTCAAACAGAATAAAAAGATCCCATATGGCCCACGAAACAAGATGATAATAGAACATGTAGTCCATAATAAAGATTTTTTAACTCACTATAGAAACTATCTAACGGGTCAGTTGGAATACGAAAATCTAAATTCTACACGATGTTGCGTCATCTTGAAGTTTTAAGAGTAGATAATTCGTGGTTTGATGTGAATTCAAAAAGAAAATATGTAGAGCCGATAAATGTGCTGTGTTAAACTTTTTTGGAATTTAAACTTATTCATATAAGTTTAAATTCCAAAAAATATATAGCGGTATTCAAGATTAGGTATAATCATGCATTATTCAATCAAAATTTTTACCTGGCAAGTGTCAACACCACCGTCTAATAGGCCGGCGCATAGCTGATGTGATTGTAGGCCATTCCAATTTCTATTGTGATATGGATGAAGTACCAAATCACATTGAGAAGTATTAATGAAGTCCACCACCGCGGCTTGGAGTTGTATTGATTGAAAATCTATTAAATTAAAAATTATTTAATAATATTTTGTGTTCATTTCCATACCATCATACCTTTACAAATTTAATTATTTTTTCATTACAACAAATTGCTCGTTCGAACTACATACATGGAATACGTTTGACACCTATGACCGGTTTTTATTATATTCTTTCCTTTTTATAATTGAAGAAAATTCATCATAATCACATATACTTTGAGAAAATAAAGAATCTGTCGTTATATTTAAAAAAATAATAGAAATAGGCCTTTAGACTTAGAATATGGGTCCATTCTGTGATTTCTTCACAAAAAAAGACTATCTTTTTATATATATATATATATATATATATATATATATATATATATATATATATATATATATATATATTTAAGTACATTGCTTATTCTCACCTCCTTCAGTGTGCCCCCAACTCGTAATGGTCCCATTTTCGCCAAGCTGTTCAAACTCATGATAGGGCCAGAGACATGCTGGCTGTAAATAGCCCGTAAACTTTACTTCGGAGTCTAACTGTATTAGAGCGATATCATAATATTTTTTAGGTGGTTTATAGTTCGGGTGGACTACAATTTTTTTAATGTTTATATCCATAATACGGTCGAACAATAAAAACTGCAAAATAAAAATATTTATTTAAATAAATATTAATTGTCCCCAAGAATTCTACAATAAAGTTTAGAATAAATATGTTTATTTATAATACTGTAAATATACATATAACACCTACTAATCTACAAATATTATACGCATATCCTTATACATATATATAACCTAAAAACCACATAAAAGGAAACTTCATAGCAGTTTTGAGCTGTGCCAGTGATATACACTAGATGTTATTGAATATTACACACCATTTTCTTCGTCCTGATAATAAGAGGAGTTACTAATGCTGAGATTATAATATTAAATATAATATTAACTAATATTAAATGATACTATCTACATATATAATAAAATTCTGAGTCGAATCTCCTTTAAATATTTTTTGGAAAATGTTATTGAAAATTTAAAAAATTCAAAGAAAATATATATATTATTCAAAAAAAATTGTCAGCCTGTCTGTGACCGCATCACGAGAAAACCACTGGACAGATTATGCTAAAATTTGCTTTGATGATAGCTGGTTATCCGGGTTAACGTATAGGGTACTTTTTACCGCGGCAAAATATCTCATTTCTGAGAAATCTATACTAACTGTTAAAACGTACGTAAGGACGAAGAGCGTAGCAAGAGTAAGTCGCTAATTAGATAATATATATATTTTTTTAAGTTTTCATTGTGATTTGACCATAAGTTAATATAAAGAACACACATACATAAAAGACATACACATCTAAGTATTTATTTCTTTAAAAATATCTACCTCATTGTCTTCAATATCTGCAAGTCCGAGTCTTACAACTTCGGGTTCCATTTGGGCAATATCGGGTACCTTTCTCATTGATAGTTTAGAACAATGTGCAGCTGTTAGTAAGAAATTCTTACTAATGAGTGTCCCTGCACATTTAAAAATCCACTTTCTCCATTGTTTTGTCGGGTCTTTCGCTCTCCATCCGACTGCGCCCTACAAATTATAAAGGCACAAAATATTTTTAATTGATAACTAGCAGGCTGCCATGGCTTATTCCAGCGGTTTTTTTAATCTGACTACTGAAAAATATTGTTTGTCATAAAAAAAAATCCACTCTTTAGGGATGAACTTTACAAAAACCTTCATGGCAAAGATAAACTAACAAAGGATTTAAACAATATTTCAAGCGGCCGCGAAATCTGGGTGTTGATGAATCTAGTTCTTACATAAAACTTTATATATAAAACAAAAAGTAGATACCATATGTGGAAACTCGAATTTCGATGTCGCCTTTTTCTTACCGACGATATTCACTGGTGAATTAATCGCAAATATATATTCAGGAATTTTGCCGTCATTGATCTGACTCATAGTATAAAATTCACCTGAAAACACACAGAATAGATGAGATGAGAATGACTAAATTTTGCTTAGTTGTTTATTAAAAGTTATATTATTGTTTATTTTTGTTTAGTTCACTTTTTAACTTATATTTTACTCTAACTTTATGCTTTTTATATTTTCATTTACTTTTAAAAATATTGTAAAATAAGCAAAATTAAAATAAAATTTAAAAAAACGCTAAAATTCGGAACAAAAAGCTATATTGCAAATGTTATATACTAATATTATAAAGAGGTAGTTTTTATCCCAGAAATCATCCCTTAAGGGGTGAAAATAGGGATGAAAGTTTGTATGGGAAGCAAGCTAGGGACGAACCCGAGCGAAGTGAGGGCGAGTCGCTAGTGTTGTATAAAATATTTGTGCTTTAAGAGAGTATCATTTAATTTTTAAATTTAAACAAGTAGTAATTGTTGAATACATATGTTTATAACTGAACTCACGATCACTTTAAAGGGTATAAGTATAAAAACATTACACAATTGTAATTTAATCGCATACTTACAAATTTCTTTCCGCTTTTTTCCATAATGTCTTTTTTTCAACTCCCAGACATATTCTTGGCATTCTAAAAATCGTCGTAATAGTAATTGTTATAAATAAGTCTTTAAAATCTAAACAAACTATTAATGTGGAAATATTATATTTACGTGAAATTAATATTACATAATATAACACTTACTTGTTGCACTAATTCTACGTCCCGATGCTGCAAAGTCCGGCATTTTTGTTTCATAGGGATTACAAAATCCTTTATAATGGTCAAAATTAAAATTCGAAGTATCATTTACCTGAAAATGATATACGTTAAATTTGCAATAACTTATCAGTTCAGCTAAAACTCATGATTTTTTTAGATATTCAATTCACGGAACTACCTACTTAAAGGACGATGCAACCTTTTGTATGGGCCGGTGGCATCATTTTTCTCCTTGATCATAATTAGAAGACTATGTAAGAAGTCTATTAAAGAAGAAACGAACTTGCTAAGCCGTAAGAAACCAGAAATATTGTGGTTGCTATTCCTTTTTATCAGGCGGTATTTTTAATACTACTAATACTTTTAATAAATACTTCTAAATTCTACTTATTCTACTCAACGAGCTTACATACAGTGATTCGACTCCTTCCTAGATAATATACAATAGTTAAAAATTGTTAAAATAATATATATAATATACATAACATATATATATATATAATATACATAACATATATATATGTTATGTATATGCACTAAATTAAGTAACTGCACAGTCACCTGAGCTCAGTTAGATAAGAAAAATGTAAATATGTTACTTACTCCAAATGTCTCCTTTATGAACTTTTCTAAATCATTCTCTGAGTATTTTAATCCATAAGCCCCTGAAATTATAAGTAAAAATATTAAAATTTATTTTATGTTAAAATCAACGACTTACCCTTGCTTCGCGCGGGCAGTTTAGAATTTTTTTGTTTTTTTTTTGTAATTTTTAAGGATTTCCAATTTACGCGCTGCAACCCTAAATATTTCCGGAATAAAACATACTCTATGTAACCTTACAAACTCCTCTATCCTTCAGTGAAGGTCCTATTACAATCGGTTAAAACCGTTCCAAATATTACCCCGGACAAACAGAAAGACAGACAGACAGGAAGACAAAGAGACAGATAAAAAAATTTTTTTAGATACTGGTATCATATGAATGACTTTATGTACTTAAGAAAACATAGTTCTTTTGAAATCATAAGCAGGCACTTCAATTTTTTTTATATGTATAGATTTAACATCAACAAAACATTCAGAAAAGGTACTATAAAGTATTTACACGTATGTCAGTAACTTTTTATATGGTATCAAACGATATATACTGCAAACAAGTATGCTAGTTACAGTATAAGCCCAGTAACTCCACAGGCACGCTGTCTCATTGGAACTTTTCTCTTTACACGTATTGTTGTAAGGTTAAACTAGTAGGTAAAATGTCACAAAATAAAATAACAGATAACTCAGGGCTGCCCACCATTAATATATTATAATATAAAATAATATAAATAATAATATAAAATATATTATAATATAAAATGTGATATTTCTTTTGAACCACAATGTTCATTTTATAAACGGCAAAAATATGTTTGTTCTTCATTGTATTTATCTAAGGCATTAAGGAAAAAAAACTTACGTTTGCAGCCGCTTAACTAACAAAGCATACCTTTTTTTTTTTTTAACGTTGGGAAATGCATTTACGCACGACGTGTGGGACTCACCGGCGTAATACACCCAGTACTACACACTAAAACCCAACAAAACCTTCCCCCGTCTTAATGGGGCGTCGCAGGATCGCTTACGCATTCAACTACGACGCCCCGACGGCAGGTCTGCCAAAGCAGACCACCACAACCTTGGGGTTGCTCCAAGGTCCACTCTGCTACGTACTACTACTACTGAGCCCCCCCACCACGACAAGGTGAACGCACGTTGGGGGGGTAACAAAACATACCTACAGCATCCTATTTCTCTAAAATCAACTTCTCTTATATATATATATATATATATATATATATATATATATAAGGCAAAAGTGATTGACTGATGCATCAACGCACAGGCCAAACCCTTAAAAGGCTAGAAAATTGAAATTTCGCACAAGTATTCCTCATATGACGATGGCAAAAATATTGAGTTACGTATTTCAGCGTTTTCTTAAATTCAACCCCTAAGAGGGTGAAATAGGGGATGAAAGTTTTTATGAAACCCAATTTTTAGATTTTTTTTGTAGTTTTAGCGCGAGCAAAGCCGAGAGTTCTGCTAGTCCAAAATAATTTTACACCCAAAATATTTTACAAAAATTACTATGCACAAAAACACGTGAAGAACAGATTATATTACTATCTATATCTGTGCCACTTAATCCAGATCCGTTCAGCCGTTTTAGCGTAATTGAGTAACAAACATCCATCTTTCCAAAGTTTCGCATTTATAATATTAATGCGATGGTTTTATTTATTATAAAAGTTAAGAGGAGTCTCAATGGTTACATTTTAGAAGGCACTTGACTATATTATAAGGTTTCAGTTTTTGCACTGTGGCTGCAGAATCCTACAAAGAGGTACTTAGCACAAAATCACGCCCATAAAATGTATTCACTATAAGGATAACAATTGAAAAATAATAAAAAGAACTGTATGTAGAGAATTAACATAACCTTATAATATACACGTAAGATGGGAGAATAAAGTTAATATTGTAATTTTATAGCAATATACTAAATAATAGATATATTAATAGATCAGTACTTACCAACAAAAATGCTTGCTAAAATTAGCGGCAACCACATTTTAATTTAATATAAATACACCTTTATAATAGTTCGCACGCGTGTATAGGTATATGAATATATATAGTCTCTAAAGCCTTATTGTTGAACAAGGTAAATACCAGATGCTTTGAGTCACGCTCAGCTATTTGATTGACACATGCCTCTGCACGCGACTTTGTTCATGTTTTGTGTAAATATTATACCAAAAATATAGTAAACAATTTTACCCCCAACAACTAAGCTCCTAAGCGAATGTAAGTAACTAACTTTGAATTGACGTGTTTCAATCTGAATCCGCTAAATACCTTTAAAAATTAACACTTTATAGCTAACCGTATTTTAGCGCGCCTTCTCTGGTATGCTGGATTTTTTTTTAGATTTGTAGGATTTAAGAAAAATGCAAGACATATTATAAGTATAAGTGCATAATTTTTTTTAATTTCGTTTATCTATTATGTATTTTAAAGATAGAATTTAAAAACATATAAAATTATCACGTACAGAATGCGTAATTTTTAAATAATAGATATGGAAGTTGATCATGTACTCAGCACCTGATCGGCGTCCTGAGGAAAGAGCGGCATCTCGTACCCAGTACATGATCTGTTAAAGTGTTAAGTGGTTGACAAGCTCAAGGAGTGAGGGGAAAAGACATACGCTATCCAATTATAAAGTGTTTTTTTGTGTATTTTTTTTCACTTTGGTTTTAAAATAATATCTTTACGTGTCCTTGCATCTTGCTACATGATCTTTACAACCTGATGTTGGTACAATGGGTTCAAGGTTGTAAGCCATTTTGCTGTATCGGGATTATCCCAAGTATGTCACTTATGTGGGTATCAAGTCATATATTAAACATCGTAATATCCTCCTTTTTTTCCTTTATGATGGATTTAGATGAAATTTAGTACACAGACAGTCTATGACCTGGAGTAACACATAAGCTAGCTAGTTAGCTATTAAGAAGAGCATTCAATTTCACAGATATCAAATATATCATTCTATAAAAATATGTTTATATAATTCATATTATTGCTATAGAACAATTATTACTTAAATGAAGGTTTTCCTTATTTACTGTATAACAGGACAGCTAAAATTACCTTCTTCATAACATTTGTTTTATCGGAGCTTCAGATAAAAAATAATTATTCATTCTTTATCCGTATTATTTTATATACATAGGTATATATGTATATACAGGATGTCCCAGAAAGTAGTGTCAAGCGGAAGTCCAGAGATAGAGCACCCCTTGGATGCCCGAATCCCCCATGTATGTTACGCGATTGTTCATAGTTTTTGAGTTATGATTTTTTTCTGGATTTTTGAGATTTTTCAAACTGAACAACTTAAAAAAGTTCTAAAAAAAAGTATAAAAATTTTTCGAGATTTTTTTTTTGCAACTGAATCTTTATGAGTTGAGATTACTTTTATGCTTAAAATAATCATCCTCGTAACTTTGATGGAAATTATGAAAATGTTGGTATAAAGTGAAAAATTTATGTTCGGTGAATGACTTAAATTTTCTAACTTTAAATTAAAAATTAAAACAAAATGTAAAGCTCTCATTTTAATTACATTGAAAAGATCTATTGGCATTTGTAATTAGGTTATGAGAAAAGTAAAATGAAATTCAATCGACTGGAAATTGAAGTGACAAAGAGATTACTGAAGATTACCCGCAACATTTCGTCATCCCTGAGATGACGAAAAAGACAAATTCAGTGTTATAACATGTAATAATCTTTAGTCACAATACTACTCGTATATATAATCCACACATATAATAAAATTCTAACTAAGCCGAATCTGTACATTAAATATTTTTTGGAAAATCTTATTGAAATAGACATTATTATCCGCCGAATCTATAGTTTTTAGAATTTTTGTCTGTCGTCAGTCTGTCTGTCTGTTACCGCATCACGTAAAAACCACTGGAGGGATTTTGATGAAACTTGGTATGATGATAGCTGGTTATTCGGGTCAACATATAGGATACTTTTTACCACGGGAAAATATCTCATTTCCGAGAAAAAGAATACAAAAACTGCAATGTAAGAGTATACTAATATGTAAAACCTAAGAATATGGTTTTTGGTTATGTGAACGCGGGCGGAGCCGCGGGCAATGCTAGTTTATTTATAAAAATCTGTTCACTAAAACGCGTAAGGTGATTTCCGTCGATCTAAAAACACGTAAACTTAGAGCAATCTTATGTAATGATTGATTATTACTTACTTATTTTAAGATATATACTTCTTTTCTTTTGTTATTTATAATATAATATCCATAAGATGATGATTAAGATTGCCAAGTTTAGTTATTGAGTCTTTCTGTATAGTAAGTCTCAGTAACAGCCCGGAGTTGGGAAGTTGACGGTGTTTCTCCCCCGTGCCTCGGAGAGCACGTAAAGCCGTCGGTCCTGCGCCTTAACTCTCATCGGTCGTGTCGAGTGGTCGTCCCACCGGAGTATGAGAGTGATAGGAATAGAGAGTGTACGTTCTGTCTGCGCGTACACTTGAGCACTATAATATCTCCTGCACAGTTGGCTAATCTCATAGAGATTAGCCGCCGTAGCCGAAATCGGCTAGGAGAACATCATCAATATCCATAGTTAATTATTTCGTATTGTTCTGACTAATATTGAACTAATTGTTCTTTCTTCTTAATGAGACCTCTTGATGCTTTTTTTCTGCCTGCCTTCAAACCGCTACACAATATTTCTTTTGCCTCTAGTTGACTGATAAAAAAATGTTTTGGGTTAAAATCCGCCAATGGACTAACTACAATTATACTTTATAAATTAAAATAAATTAATTATAAGTATTCTTTTTCCTTTAAGCTCAAGATACCCAAGTTTTCTATTCCCCAGGCAGAGAACAGGAACTTTAAAAACCTCAATGAAATGAAATAAACTTTATTCAATTAAACTTATACAAGCATTTTTGAATCTTCAATATAATTTAAAGACCGTTCGTGAGGAAGCTACCACCGGCTCGAAAAGCAGTTTTGCTGAGAAGAGCCGGCGAGAAACTCAACAGTTGCTCTTTTAAATATCGAAATTACATTTATTTATTTTATTTACATATTAATATAGATAGCCCGCATATGAGTCAATATTTCTCAATTCTACACATATCAATCAACATAAAACTCTTGAACAGAGTAATACACTTTGCTCAGTAAAATATTTTTAATTTTATCTTTAAGTTGTTGAAGAGGTAAATCTAGGTAAATCTAGTAGTTATATAATAATCTAGTAATGAGGTAAATCTAGTTTGTGGATTCTTATTGTACATATATGCGTATACTCAAGCCTATAAAGGGTTTATTTACCTTTTGGACTCAAAATCTGGGTATAACAAGCTTATTTCTATTCCTAGTGTTTATTATGTGCCTAACACTGATTTTTTTATAATTATTTAAACATTTGCCAACAAGTAATATATTATACAGTTTGTGAGTCAACCGTAAGAATATCAACTTTTTTTCAAAGCCCGTACTGCTCTTTTTTGAAGAATAAATATCGAATTAATTTGCGTGGAACTGCCCCAAAGAAGTATTCCGTAAGATAAAAATAACTAAAATATGCAAGTTGCGTAGTGTTAATATCCGTTAAGTTTTTAACTTTTCTAACTGCAAAGGCAGCGGGAGCTGAGTTTATCTGCAAGTGTTTAGAGATAAGGGTTCCACTGGAGCTTGGAGTCTAGTGTCATGCCTCATAAGATACACCTTGCAAAGATTTGCAGGATATATGCGTATACTTTAAGTTAACATTTCAGTTTTACAAGAGATCGTCAGAAGAAAAATATTTTCTGTTAACACTTTGACCCATTAATCATTGAATCTGTAGTAAGAAATGATGAGGTCATTTTTTTATATTTAAATCATAAAGAGAATTATTTATAAAAAGAAAAACTTAATCATAAACTACATAACATCATGCCAAAATAACAACAAATAAGTAGAGTTCTAAATTTTTTGCTCTGTGATAAAATGATTGACCACAGGGTTCTTGATCAATTGCTCAGTATTTTTTTAACTTTTAAGCTTAAGTAAATAACATACACTTTAATATGGTAAAAAAAAATGGTGACCGCGAAATAATCCGAAATATTTTAGTTTTATTTTCTAGTTTTATTACTACGTATGAAAAAAAATATACACTTAAAATATCACAATAATGATTCAAATACACTCTAAGTAAAAAAAACGCTAATACATGTACAAATTAAATTTAAACAATACGAGACGTATATATTTATTTAAGCTGACTTTAAAAAGCTATGTTAAATAAGTTATGAAGATGATTTCCAAACGTGTTCTTCAATCCAATCTGTGAAGTTGGATACTCTAGAATAGATACCGGGTTGATTTGTTCCTCCACATCCGACTCCAAACGACGTAATACCTAGTACCCAGTACATAGATTCCTGTGTATCCAAAGGAATTTTTACTTGCAATGGACCTCCTGTATCACCCTGTAATAAATTAATCAGTTTAAGCTATTTATTATATTCTAACTTATTGTTTAACTAACTTTGACATTCGGGTATACTCGTAATTTGTTGGCAAAAGAAACAAGATTTTTTTCAATATAAATAAAGAGATCTCATCTGGCCCACGAGATAAGGTGAAGACAGAACAGTACTCTATTATAAAGATTTTTTATCTCAATATAGGAACTATCTATCGGGTCAGTTGAAAGACAAATATCTAATTTCTACACGATATATAATCATCTTCAAGTTATACGAACAGCTAATTTTTGATACATAAGACTAATAATATAGGTAATAATGCCAAAAAAGAAAATATCTAGAGCCGATAAATGCACTGCGGTAAGACTTATCAATAAGTTTAAATTCCAAAAAATAGAACATATTCAAGATCAGGTATTTTCACCTGGCAAGTGTCAACACCACCGTCTAATAGGCCGGCGCATAACTGATGTGATTGTAGGCCATTCCAATTTCTATTGCGATATGGATCAAGAATCATGTCACATTGCGGAGTATCAATGAAGTCCACCGTCGCAACTTGGAGTTGCTTGGATTGAACACCTGTTAATTATACTTTGTGCTTATTTCAAGTGTAACAATATAATGACGTGGTGATGCCTGTAAGAATTGAATTGGTACATACAACAAATTGTTGGTACGAACTAAACGCACGACAAACCTCTGGCTACTCCAAAAATTAATTCAAGAATTTGTTGCTAAGTAAGAGCTATATCTTGTATATTTTTTCAACTTCAACCTTGTTATAGGGTATATAATATATACCCTTGTTAAGAACCATTATATGCATAATACATAAAAAGTTATTAAGTGCTAATTAAACTCATGCTCCCAGAGTTCCATACCACGATACAAAATCTACAATATTGTGTTACATATTGAGCAATAAAATAAAACCTTTTGAAGCAAATGACGTTTGACACCTTTGCAGGTTTTTAGCATTTTATAATTTTTACAGTTAGTACTTTTTATAAAGATAATGTATTTGTTAGAAAAGTCGTCATCATAACACATAATTAAAAAATCTGTTACATATTAAGAATCAATAGAAATAGCCCTTTAGACTTGGTCCGTTTTGTAATGTCTTTACAAAAAGAGAGTATTTTTATACAAATTACTATAAATCTATTAATAAATTGCATTGACTACATATTCTCACCTCCTTCAGTGTACCCCCAACCAGTAATGATCCCATTTTTGCCAAGCAGATGGAAATCATGATAGGGCCAGAGACATGCTGGCTGTATATAGCTCGTAAACTTTACTTCAGAGTCTAACTGTATTAGAGCGATGTCGTAATATTTTTTAGGCGGTTTGTAGTTTGGGTGGACTATAAACTTTTTGATGTTTATATCCATAACATGGTCGAACAATAAAAACTGCAAAAGTAAGAAAAAACTTTTTTTTTTTTGGCCCGAAGGTCTTAAATCTTCTTTTTCTTAAATCTTTCAATACATGTTAGGATAAATATATTGTATTTGTAATACTATATATACTAGCGGACCCGACAGACGTTGTCCTGTTTACACGTCTTTAATTTGAAAATTTCAAACTATTTTTAATAAATTTTTTGATGAAAATTATTATTCAAATTGTGAATCTAAACCATTCCCAGATCCCCTTGAACACACACAAAAAATTTCATCAAAATCGGTCCAGTCGTTTGAGAGAAGTTCAGTGACATACACACTCACAGAAGAATTATATATATAAAGATATATATATATATATATAATACTTACCTACTAATCTAAAAATATAAAACATTTAACCATAATGTACAATATAAAAGGAAACTTAATAGCAGGTCTGAGCTGGACCAGTGATTAACACTAATTCAATTGAACATTGAACACTACACACATATTGACTGAGTTATATTAGACTACTAGATAATATAAATTACTAAATAACATTTTCATATTGATTTGACCATTAGTTGCATGTCAATATAAATATTATATCTCACTAAAGATTAATTTATTATAATAGTAATGTAAAGAAAAAGTAATAAAACCTTAGTTTTATAGAATTTAACATACACATCTAAGTATTAATTTCTCTAAAAATATCTACCTCACTGTCTTCAATATCTGCAAGCCCGAGTCTTACAACTTCGGGTTCCGTTTGGGCAATATCGAATACCCTTCTCGTTGATAGTTTAGAACAATGTGCAGCTGTTAGTAAGAAACTCTTACTAATGAGTGCCCCTGAACATTTAAAAATCCACTTTCTCCATTGTTCTGTCTGATTTTTCGCTCTCCATCCTATTGCGCCCTACAAATTATAACAGTACAAAATATTTTTAATTGATAACTAGCAGGCTGCCCTGGTTTATCCCAGCAGGTTTGTTTTTAATCTGACTCCTGAAAAATATTGTTTCTCATACAAAATTTGCGATCAATTTTTTCACATTTTTACACATCTTCGTGAACAAAGATAAACAAACATAAGATGTCAGCAATATTTCTTATATAGGTGGTTTAGCCTGGGGGTTGATGAATCAGTTATTACAAACAACTTTATATATGGAATAAAAAGCAGATGGTCATACCATATGTGGAAACTCGAATGCCGATTCCGCATTTTTCTTGCCGGCATTATTTACCGACGAATTACTTAAAAATATATAGTCAGGAATTTTGCCGTTTTTAACTTGACTTATAATATAAAATTCACCTGGAAAACGCAAAAAATATGAAATGACTGAATTTTGCTTTATTATTTATTGTTGTTTAGTTCACTTTTTAACTTATCTTTACTTTTATAAAAACAGTATAATGAGCAATATTAAAATAAATTATTTATGCTTATTTTTAATAAAGGTATTTTTGGAAAAGTCTCTCCTGTGACCATGATTGCTGCATAAAGCATTTGGAACAATAATGAAAATAACCACGAAAAAAATTCAAACAAAAAGTTTTATTAAGAATGTTAAATATTTGTTTAAAAAGAAAGTATTATTTAATTTTTAAATTATAACTTAGTAGTAATTATTGATTACTTATATTTATAACTGATATTACTTAGAGGGGATATAGTAACATCACACAATCGGCATACTTACAAAATTTATCCCGCTCAGTTTCATTATGTCGTTTTCTCAACTCCCAAACATATTCCTGGCATTCTATTAAAACATCGAACAATAATATTTATATATTATTAATTTTTAAACGTAATTATTTTTAAAATATCATTCATCAAAGACTAAAAATTCTTAAACTCTTTACAAACAATTAATTGAAAAATATTATAATTACATAAAATTAATAGTACTATTATATTACTTACTTGTTTCACTAATTCTTCGTCCCGATGCTGCAAAATCAGGCATTTTTGCTTCGTATGGTTCACAATATCCTTTGTAATCGTCAAAATTAAAATTTGCTGTATCATTTTTCTGAAAATGGCATACAATAAATTTCCAATAAGTAATCTACCTAAAGTTGAATTACAATAACTTAACTGACATAATAATTGATTTTTTTATATTAATAATTTATAAAAGTTTGAATTATAATAATTTTCCAGCAAATTTCTAAGGCGGGTAGAGATTTTGGTCAGAAGTAGCATACAGATATATTTTTCGCGGAATAGGGTATAGAAATAAAGATTTATTACGCATAAAATTTTAGTAATAGTATTGTTATTAATAAAATTGTGCAGTAAAATCTTTCATTTTTAATAGGAAATTGCAAAAAAATCGAGGGCATCTATTCCTAACACTCGTATGGCGTATCTGTCCCATGAAAAACATAACATGTAAAAAATGAGTTATATACGAGGAAGGTTGTTGTAAATAATTTGTAAAAATTTTGTACAAGGTGGCTGAACTATGATGGTCTTTTGTCAAAAAAAAACTGTTTTTATACGCTTAAATGGCTAACACTGGCTAAACTTTAAGAGATATTTATTATGTACATACATCAAAACAATGTACTCGAAAATTGTAGGAAAAAGGCTTACAGAAAATTCCGCGATAGCACTTGCACGCATATAATAACTATTTGTATCTATTTAAAATATAACATAGGGACGCGAGGAGGGAAACTAGGGTAAGTCGCTAGTCTATCTAGATCTGAGCGAAGCAAGTGTTTCATTTATAAAGATGAGGAAGAAAAATGGTCTAAAAATAGGACCTTGTGGAATCTCATAGAGTAGAATATATACGAGTATAATATATTGTAACTCACAAGATTTTGTTAGTTGCTTGATAAAAAAAATCGGTTCCTTAATTACAAATAATTTGTGTTAGAATTTTATATAATATTTAGTAAATACTGCTTACTTTTAAACATCTTGAATAATAAATTATAAGATTTTATTTATACTTCATTCCTGCTTTACTTTTAGTAACTATCTATCCATAAAACTAAGTACATATATAAAGTGTATACTGAATTATGTAACTTCACAGCTACCTGAGCTCAGTTAATAGGAAAAAAATGTATACATGCTACTTACTGCTAATAACTCCTTTTTGAACTTTTCTAAATCATACGCTGTGTATTTTAATCCATAAGTCCCTGAAATTATAAGTAAAAGTAATAAAATCTATTTTATCTTAAAACCAACGCTTTGCTTGCTTCGCTCGTTTAAAAATTTAAATTAGAATTTAGCGTTATTTTTAAGGGTTTTCAATTTACGCGCTGGAACCCTGTTTTTTTTTTATTTTGTGAAATTTTACCAACTAGTTTTACCGTGCAACAATACGTGTTAAAAGAGCGCACCGGGACAGTCTGCCTGTAGAGTTACTGAGTTTATACTGCAATTTGCATACTAGTTTGCTATATTTATCGTTTGATACTATATAAAAAGTCACTGACAGATGCGTAAATACTTCTTAGTACCTATTTTGAATCTATTTCTAGTAGTTACTCCCTAATTTATTTACTTGTTCTGTTTTGTTGTTGTTAAATCTATACATATAAATAAAATCATATAAATAAGAAGTGTCTGTTTGTAATTTCAAAATAACTATGTTTTCTCAAGTACTTGAAGTTACCAATATTAAAATTCCTTTTTAATTTAAAAAAAAAGATTGTTGTTGTTTGACTGCCAGTCTTTCGCTGCAGGATAGAGGAGTTTATAGGGTAAGTTTTATTCCGGAAATCATCCCTTAAGGAGGTAAAAATGTAGATAAAACTTTGTATAGGGAAGCAAGCTAGGAACGAACCAGAGCGAAGCGAGGGTGAGTCGCTAGTTCACTATAAGGATATCAATTAAAATTAATTAATTAACATTATAACCTTATAACCCTTTATAATATAAACGTAAGATTGGAGAATAAAGATATTAGCATATTTTAACAGTATATTATGTATTATAGTAATAGATCAGTACATACCAACAAAAATGCTTGCAAAAATTAGCGGCAACAACATTTTAATTTAATATAAATACTCCTTTAAAATAGTTCGCACGCGTGTGAACATGTGCATTGTGCAGACACTAAAGCACACTATATTGAACAAGGTAAATACTAAAAATTCTTTGAGTCAGCTACTTGATTGACGCATGCCTTTGAACGCGACTTTTTCCATGTTTCGTGTAAATATTATAAACAACAAATTTTACCGCAATATATAACAAGACCATTTTACGCTCAATAACTAAGCTTTTAAACAAATGTAACTAATTTTGAATCAACGTGTTTCAATCTGAATATGATAAATACCTTCAAAAATTAAAGTAGATAACGAGCCTCAGGTGTGAGGAAAAAAGACAAACTTCGAGTTATACACCATCCAATAATAAAGAGTCACTAAAATCGGTCCATTCTGTGAAAGTATGATACATACATAAAAGAAATATATAGATACGCATCAACTTTACAACTTGCTTTTTTCCCGACTGCGGCAAGCCCAAGTTTGACCTGTATGTACGTATGTCAGAACATAGGTTCGGATATACATATGTACATATAAATTGTGTAGTATAGTAAATTGATAGTTATATAAAGATCGATAGTTTGGTTTAATTTAAAATTTATTTTCTTCCTTTTTAGAGCATTTAAATAAAAGTTTGTTTTTAAAAATGTTTTTTGTAGATTTCTTTGAAGGCTCTTATTTAGCAATTTGAGGCAGTCATACTAAAACAAAATTTGAAACTCTCGTAGATTTAAAATTATTAATTTAAAGTACCTTTAAAATAACTATTGGCATTTGTAATAAGATTATGAGAAAAATGAAATTAAATTGAAGTGACAAAGAGAATACTAAAGATTACCCGCACCATTTCAATATTTAGTCACAATTCTATATACTGTGTTAGCACAGATACGCTATCCCATATATCAAAAATAGATACTATTCTTTGAGTCACTTTTTGCTTAAATGGACAATAGATGACGTTAAAATAAAAATTTTTTTATAAAAATCTGTTCAGTAAAATGTGTAAATTAGGTTCAATCCATCTACAAACACGCAGGCTTAGAGTAAACTTATATTCTAATGATTATTCAATCTACAACACAATTTAAATAATTTCATAATATACTAAGATTACTTCTTTTCAACCGACTTCCTCAAAAAGAGGAGGTCAATTCGGCTGTATTTTTTTTTTATTATAGCATATACATTTTTAACATATATATTTTTCCAGTTATCTATACTAATAATATAAAGAGGTAAAGGTTGTGAGTTTGTGACGTTGTAGGGGGTAATCTCTGAATTTACTGAACCGATTTAGATGAAATTTGGTAAGAAGTTAGTTTGAGATCCTAGGAAAGATATAGGATACTTTTTATCCCGGAAATCATTCCTTAAAGGTTAAAAAATAAGGATGACAGTTAGTATTGGGAAGCAAGTAAGGGACGCAACCGAGCAAAGCGAGGGTGAGTCGCTAGTTAGTTATAAAATAACATCCATAGTTATAATTATTTCGTATTGACTAATATTGAACGAATTGTGTTTTCTTCTTAATGAAACCTTGTGATGCTTTTTTTTCCTGTCTGCCTTCAAACCGCAATATTTCTTATAAACATATTTAAAAATTAACAATATTTCTTTTTCCTCTGGTTGACTGGTAAAAAAATGTTTCGGGTTAAAACCCGCCAATACACTTATTGCTACAATGATACTTATAAATTAAAATTAATAAATATTTTTTATTCAGTTCAATTCAATTCTTTTATATAGTGGCTTGTAAAAGTACGTATATTATGTATGTATTGTCCAGCGTACCGGGCTCAACATCTTGGCACCCCTAGTACACTCCCGGAGGTTTTTAGCAAGACGAAAAGATTGCTGAAATTCTTGGAGGAACTGGGCTGGCAAGTATAAAACGAATGGAAAATTTCCCACACACGCAAAATAGGCGCGCAGACGTCGAGTTGCGGAAACAAGCCCGAATATACCATACCACACCATACCAAGAGTGCGTAATGACACAATCTACTTCGCCAATGTCACGTAGAATGGAAAATACTCTATATTTTATGCATAGGACATTATATTTAGGCGTTATAAGATCCCAATAAGGGAAACTACATGATAAACACTTGTACACTAAACCTACAATTTTGGTGTAAAAAAAATATTCACTCGTTTCTTGAATTACTTTGATTTATGGAGAAAAATTCATAGGTTTCTAAAAGATAACAAACTGGAGATCATTTATTTATTAGTTAAGATAGAATTAAAGCTTGGAAACAGAAGTGATAGGAATTTTTGGTTTTTTATATTTTTTATATCGGGTTTATTAATTTCTTACGTCAATTTGGAAGTTTCATGTTGTAGTCATGTCTTAGGTTAATTAGGGCTTATTTTGCGTATTGAGAATGACGAATCATAGGAAAATCACACCATTATATTATAACTGTTGGGTTATCAAGCAGACGTCATAGAAAGGAAGCAATTTACTCATTACTCATTAGCGATGAGTAGTACATAAATTATACTTAATGGAGGAAAGTAAACTGAAATTGTCATCAAATTGTTGAGCTCACAACTACCTATTGCTTAGTTAATACAGTATAAGTTTCTTGGCCAGTGAAGCATGCTTTTACTTGAGGATATAGCGCTGCAGTGGAAGGAAATAGTAATTAAATTTACATACTAATTCGTAATTTTCTCTTTGAAACTTATATAAAGACTACTGTTTACAAAATAAATTTTATATTAAATGAAGATTTTCTTTATTTCAACCTTAATTTTGTAGATTCACTCCGCTCTCGTAAGTCGTAGTATGTGTAATATATGGCCTATTAACTTTCTTAATGAATAAGTTTAAAACGCAAAAAGACTTTTCAAATCAGACCAGCAGATTTAGAGATTAGGGCGTTCAAACAAACCAAGAAATTCTTCAGCTTTATACATATATAAGTATATCATATTTTAAAAAAGAAAAATCTTATCTTAAAAGAAATCCTTATTTTTTGTCCCATCTAGTTTTATCGAGCTAACTGCGTAGATCTACTTGAAAGTAATATTTTTACATTGAGTATATAGAGTTGTTTAGTCCAATGACAAGCATATACTTTTAAAACTATGTAGTTAACCGACTTCCAAAAAGGAGGAGGTTCTCAATTCGTCTTTTTTTTGTCATAAGCATCACATGACATATTACTTAAAGGATAAGGCAGGATTCGCCCACGTATTGCTGGAGACGAAAGTTTAAAATACACTTACATAGGAAACTTACAGAAATATAACAAAATTGTAACTGATCGCTGTCTGTACATGGAAATATTTGACAAAAACTTTTATGGGGGGTCTTTATTATCGCAATAGAACCAAAAACAATGATTTTTAGAATATTTGTCTATTTGTCTGTGCATTTGTGCGCGCTAATCTCAGAAACGGCTTAGCCGATTTAGGTGCGGTTTTCACTAATGTATTATAGTAAGCTTCACTTAACATTTAATATTATATTAAGTTTATTTTGTTCAGTTGTTTTTTTAAATCGGTTCATAAAATAAAAAAGTTATGACAATTTACAAAAGCACATCTAACATTTATTAAAAAACTAGCGACTAACCGTTAAAACGTACCTAGGGACGAACCCGAGAGTGAGTATATATAAAGTTAGTATACTAGTCGTAGTAAATCTAGTATTTTAATAAATTTATATAAAGGATAATCTTGGTTTATTTAATCGTGAAACCAAATTCATTGTAAGCTAAGTCAATGTTACTCTCAATTATCTCTGTATTCAACTTCCCAGTGTTTATATAAATTTATGAATTTTCTTCAAAAAGTAAGTAATTAAGAGTAACAAAGTTTTATTTAGAGTTTATTCAATCATCATTTTTTTCATATATTTACCAACAAAAATCTGTTTATTCAACCATTTTCGAAATATATTTTTTATGTAGATCAAATTCTCGAAACGGTCCGAAAAAAAAATTGTTACATTTTTGATTGGTAATCATGAGTGTATCAATGGAATAATGAAATCTTTCAATTTGTGTTGCATATATAAAAAAAACAGATACAAAGATTGATGTATCCACCCCTAGTTTAATGCTGTGATTTTATGCGAAGGAAGTTAAATCATAGCCCAACACACTGGCCTAGTGGGATTAGCGGGACTTACAAGTCTTTTGAAAACTTGCTAGTTTCTCTCATACGTGCAGATGTTCTTACTATGCTTTCCTGCACCATAAGGTAAGTTCGGAAATGATTCCTACATGAAAATATGAGAGATTTGAGTCCAAGGATTTGAACCTGCTTCACCTGCTTTCCCAAGCGCATTACCTCAAGGCTACCGCTGCTGAAAATAAATAAAAGTACACGAAATATAAGAAAATAAAGTTTAAGTAATATAAAACAATAATCACTGGAAACTTCTGCGACAATCGTCGTAAAACTTGTATTTCTACTTTAGTAACCCACAAGTTTAGATGTTGTTTTCATCAGAAATTCTAAAGGAACCCCAAGGGCCTCTTAATTGATTTCGTCGCAACTACTATTGGATCGTTCACAATTTAATTGCCTCCAAGTTACCCCTTATTTAGCCTACATGCCCTAGTGGTGCAATATATCATGTTCGATAAGAAAAAAAACGTCGTTATCGTGTGTTTGCTAATAGATGTTCTAAGATACTAGGTTTAGCTTTTCTGTATGTAAACAACATATCTTTGTATCATTATTGTAGTCGTTTTTCCCTATTGTTTTTGATGATATTTTTGCTCAATCATAATATAATTTTAATCTATTGTTAACTGTAACGATCGCGGACACGCCGGCGTTACATTTAACAATAGATTTCTTAGAAATTTACCTGAAGGTGTTAAAAACTCGAACTTAATAATCTAGACTGAATTATTCTGAACATCCGCAAACAGACAGACAGCAAGTATCCACAAATCCAACACAGATATTCCCCGTACAAGAGTCTCTCATCCTACTAATCTATCCAGGTCCATTGGCCTGAGACTTGA